GAAAGCCTTTCTTTAAATGCAGTTAAGGTTCTCATTTTTAACTGAAACCCTGATGAAGGGGGAAGTTCCTTTGACCCCCCCCCAAACGTATCGGATGCCTTTTAACATAACATCCGTAAATTAATTTGGACTCTTTTCTTTTGGTCTGGCGCTCCTTCCATATGGGCACACTTTTTTCCTGGCAGCCTGCTGGAGTACCCACAGTAGGATGGCCTTTCTTATTGTGAGCAGCCTAGGCTGAGCCACTGAGCTCTTCAAGTGTTTTTTGCCCTCCTACTACTTTGTTTAAACTCATACCAAAGTCCCAGTGCCTCTTGGTTACCCTTTTTTTCACTGAACACAGAAAAGGCAGCTAGCTGACAAAAAATCGAAATGGCAGTGCAGGACACAGACTATGTCAACTGAATAGCAGGTTCACTGTGCTGGTGAGTATGTATTTTGAAGACAACCCAGCAATACAGGTAATGGGTGAAGGGCAGTTAAGTGCCACTTTAATGGAGACTTCGGCTAAGTGCTGTTTGCATCTGAACTAGCCACATAAAAAGAGTCCAGAACCAAATTCTTTTTGTTAGTTCTAAATGCCTCTAAAATACCTCTAACAGTCATTGTAAAAAAAGTAAAAAAAAAAAATGGGATCAGTGGGTGGCAAATTTTCCTCTTTAGCATGTCACAGCTAAAAAGGTCTAAATTGGGAAAGAAGCATTTTCCCCCCATTTGCTTCACTATTCTGCTGTGTGTTCTCAATCAGTGTAATATAACGGTAATTTGTTTTCTGCAGTAACTTCAGTGCCTCCTCATTTAATAAACATATTCTGCTTTTCTGTTAGCTAAGGGACCATTACTTTTTACTATTTATGCATGCTTTCTGTTTTAATTTTGTCTACAGGCCTAGCATGTCTGGGTTACATCTGGTCAAACAAGGTCGAGAACGGAAAAAAATAGATTTACAGAGAGATTTTACAGTTGCTTCCCCTGCAGAATTCGTCACACGTTTTGGAGGAAATAAAGTAATCGAAAAGGTATATATTTTTTTGCCATAGTGATCCTTTTTTTTTAGATAATATTGCCATCAGCCACACCATTTTCGAGCTAGACTAAAAAATTTGGTTTGGGAAACTGCAAATTTAATTTATCTCCTGTCTTTACCAACAAGAAACAGCAATATAACACCACTGGACATATCATTTGTTTAATGAGATATTTCTAGTTTCCAGATCCTCCTCTGCTAATCCATCATTTTATTTCAACATTTTTTTAAATATCACTGTTCTGTCTCTCCAATCTAAGCATTGAAAGTGAGATCTCTGTAACTTACAGTTGTGATGAGATAGCGATAACTCCAATCTTAGTTGAATAACACAGGCAGTGACTCGACCCAGACGACACCTTGTAGATCTTGTGAAGTTTATTCCATAAACTGAGAAAACCTTACAACAATGAACATCGGATAGGTCAAATGATCATAATGTGATCTGCTTCCATAAGACATGAGGCTAAAAGCTGAAGTGCATTACTGGGAAATGATCAAAAGGGTGGGGCTATCTGTACAGCATGAACTAAACCAAAGGAAAGGGAGGAGCAGAGACAAAATACAAAGAACACTTAAAGGCATATGACAGTCATGTGAAACATGACAATCACTTTCTAAATTAGTAACTTGAGTCGTGACCAGTATGTGCTTTACAAATTCTGGACTTTACTAAGTGATTCCAGCTTACCTATTGAAATAATTTCTTCATACCTCTTAAAATGTGAAAATGTAAAAACTAGAAAACTTTAAAGCCCACATCCCAAGCAGTGTCCAGAAATACCAAAGTAAACACACTTCAGGAACACTTCATCCATCTTAGTTAACTCAACCCTACAATACCAAAGTAAACACTCTTCAGGAACATCACACCCATCTTAATTAACTCCACCCTACAATACCAAAGTAAACACACTTCAGGAACAACAAACCCATCTTAATTAACTCCACCCTACATAGTGTAAAAAAAAATATCCAACTGGTTGAGTACATATAAACCAATTAAAGATGAGCTAATTTTGTGGTGGGTGCTTCCCTTCACTGTTTTCATGTCATTGGGGCTTATTATCGGGGTGCGTTAAATGTAATCTATTTCTCATGTTACAGGTACTTATAGCTAATAATGGAATAGCAGCAGTAAAATGCATGCGCTCAATCAGACGATGGTCCTATGAGATGTTTCGAAATGAAAGGGCAATACGATTTGTTGTCATGGTGACGCCTGAGGACCTGAAAGCAAATGCAGGTTAGTGGTATTTGCTAATATCACATGGTTTTAATTCAATGTGATTTCTGAAAAAGTGGAAATCCCTTGGATTGTGGTTTGTCTGTGCAATAGTATAGAGGAGTAACTACTTTCCATAACCTCCTAACAGACCTATCCCATTCCTCTTTCCACCACCCTTAGTTTGTATATTCTCCAGCTGGGAATCATTATGTTTTAGGGTTGTGATATAATATCACATCTGTATTTGCAAATCAGGAAAAACCTTTTTCCTACTTCCTTGACACCCATTATTAGCCACCGAGAGTTCCTCCTAGGCCAGATTGACCCAACATTCTGTTCTTGGGAAGGGAGTAGTAAAAGCTTCACAGTTTATATCCTCATACTGTTGGACTACTCTCTGTAGTCTCCTCCACTAGACCTTTGGCATCAGCATAAACTTTTATATTTTCTGTGTTCCCTTCCAAAACCCCACAGTTTTACTAAGGACTTGACACCTTTTCAGAAAGTCTGTCAAGAAGACAGAGCCATGAGACACTCCTTGTCCTCCTCATACCAATAGAGGTAATGAATACAATCTCTGAAGGTGACCCTGGGTTCCTCACTAACTGGGAAAAAGATTTACAGTGCACTTTTACTGAAAACCAAAAGGACAGAATTCTGTGTTTTGCCCCCAAGATAACCATTTGCGATAAGTATCAAGAGAACTCCTATAAGATCTTTGCCTGATGTTGAGGGCCCCCCGCTGACCTTAGCTGAACTCTTCCCACAGCAAAACCCTAATTGCTGGTATTGTGGTGATCATCTGGGCTCCCTGCTACATATTTTTGGAACTGCTCTGTACTAAGACCATTTTGGAACCAGACACCTGGGGGTTTATTTACTAAAGCTGGAGAGTCCAAAATCAGACTCCCTTCTGCATAGAAACCAATCAGCTTCTAACCCCAGCTTGTTCAATGAAGCTTTGGCAATGAAACCTGGAAGCTGATTGGTTTCTATGCAGAAGGGAGTCTGATTTTGGACTCTCCAGCTTTAGTAAATAAACCCCCTGAAGTCATAAAGCAAACGCCGGGATTCACTCTGTCCGATGACCCCACTATTTACCTTCTCCACCTTATGACTATGTCCCGTAAGAGATATAGAACATCTTTGCCAATTAATTTACTAAATGCAACCAAAGTCTGTATTTCTGGTCCCTAGAAAAATCACCCCCTCAGACACTTCGGCAGTCGTTTGACAGGGTAAACAATATTCAAACTAAGGAAGAGCTTACTGAAGCTCTCAGAGACAAATCTGCAGCTGACTCTCAGAAATGGTTCTATGGGGAAGAATTCAAATACACATCCCAATACAAGCAATGCTACTAGTAGGTGATTGCTCCCCCCCCCCTTTTTTTTCTCTTTCTTTTTTTGTTCCTCAGGCTGGAATCCTCCCTTCTTTGTGCGCCCTCCCCTTCTCCCCCTCTTTAAGTCTCTATATTCTCCTACCTGTGTGTTTGGGGTTTATCCCCGTTTAATATACTCTTTTAAAAATAAAAAAACCCGATAGGGTCTCATCAGAGGCATGTTGTTGGTGGTTATTAAAGACTGTCTTTTGCTTTATTGGTGAATCCTTCCTCATAAATAAAAAATGTTAACACAAAAAAAAAAACAGGAAAACTTTAAAAAGTCTGTAAAGACTGGAACAAACGTGTTTTTAACTGGAAATTATTTTACTACTCCAAGTCAGCCATTTAAAGTTTCATTAAACCCAGACTATGAAAAGCTGTCATTACATGCTATATTACAAAGTGTGCATACTTACAAAGCCGGTAAAGCATTCATTTTGTGTAGAGTGAAATATACCTGGTTTATCCTGCCATTAGGTGTCCCTGCCATCTTCATTGTGTCCCCATTGGAGCCTGAGATTGTGTAGACCAGTTGTTGTAATCTACTGAGCATGCTCCTAATTTCAGTTTCCTTCTAAGCTCTTCATTTCATCTTCTTGTTTTTTTTCTTGTGCAGCTTAAATGACTATGGTCACACATATGGTCCTATACACAGTGGTAAATGACACTCCCCTCCTCCATGTCCTCCCACTAGGGGGGTGGGATATAGTACTTATTGATTGCATTCACTAAGAAACTCATGAAAAGCTTTGTTTTAATATAAATGAATATTAAATATATCAACTGTAATTGCTAATACCTGTAAAGTAAAAAAAAACAGCCGTGTGAATAAAGTAAAAGCTAGTGTCAGTCATCTTTGACTCCGCCTACACCATGCACAAAAAATACACATTTGATGTTCAGTAAAGATTTATAGGGAGCTATAAAATAGTTTTTGATATTTATAATTTAATTTGAATTGATCTCCTGAAGCTGTTTTTTTTTTTTTTTTACACTCGTGACTGGCACAGCACCAATCAGGGCTGGCCAGACAGACCCATATTGTAGTAATAGAAGCCCTCCTGAGGATCTTTCCCTGCAGATGCCAAAGAACAGGGAAAGATCATGTGACCACACAACTGGGCTGCAGCAAGAAGATACCTAAAGGATTGAAAAAAAAAAACAAAATATCACATTTTAACTTATTTTAAACAATATTCCATACATACAATTAGAGAAACCTATACTTGTTTTAATATAAATACCAAAAAAAGCATGGTTTTCTTTGTAGAATATGATCTTCTTTCAGAACACACTTCTGTGACTAATGGCGTTCTATGGTTTAGATTCCTGTTTATTTATTTTACACAGAGTATATCAAGATGGCGGATCACTATGTTCCTGTACCAGGAGGACCAAACAACAATAATTATGCAAATGTAGAGCTTATTCTTGATATTGCTAAAAGGATCCCTGTACAGGTAATAAAACCATTCTTTAAAAGGATTTGAAATATTAAGGTTGTGATTTGTCAGCATTGGTATTTCTATCATTTCTGCTGGGGGAGCCAAATGAAATGAAAATCTTCACAATGCAGTACTTCAGTTTTTCATCCAGTCATAGGTGTTGTGCACCTGTCAACCCAACTCCCTTTTCTTGGTTGGCTGAGAACCCCTGCTTGTGATGCGGAAGAGAAATCCTCAGACACCTCTTGTTACCTTTCAAGGTCATACAAAGGGCCTAATGGAAAAAAATGTTGGTACTAATAGGTTTCTCACAGTCACCAGTCAGATGTGATTGGTGATAGAGGCTGCAAAAAGATAAGTTACATGGAACAGGTTTTGGGAAGCATACTAAGACCTGGCTCACTGGTCCATTCACATCAATGTGATTTAGCACAGAGCAAGTTTGAAAAAGGTTCCATACTACCTTGGCGCTATTCCAGCACGATTTTGGCCCCATAGAATATGCAAACCTTATCCAAGTAGCATCCAATTACCACTACATAATAAGTTGGGTCAAATTCAGATAACAGCAGTGTGAACCTAGTCTCAATGACCCTGTGAGGTGGAGTCGACCTGCAGATAAATTGCTTTAAAGTTTATTTCCACTTTTGCAATCAAATTTGGGAAACCCCCAGTATACAGGTGAAACTCGAAAAATTAGAATATCGTGCAAAAGTTAATTTATTTCAGTAATGCAACTTAAAAGGTGAAACTAATATATGAGATAGACTCATTACATGCAAAGCAAGATAGTTCAAGCCATGATTTGTCATAATTGTGATAATTATGGCTTACAGCTCACGAAAACCCCAAATCCACAATCTCAGAAAATTAGAATATTGTGAAAAGGTGCAATATCCTAGGCTCAAAGTGTCCCACTCTAATCAGCTAATTAAGCCATAACACCTGCAAAGGGTTCCTGAGCCTTTAAATGGTCTTTCAGTCTGGTTCAGTAGGAATCACAATCATGGGAAAGACTGCTGACCTGACAGTTTTGCAAAAAAAAACCATCATTGACACCCTCCATAAGGAGGGAAAGCCTCAAAAGGTAATTGCAAAAGAAGTTGGATGTTCCCAAAGTGCTGTATCAAAGCACATTAATAGTAAGTTATGTGGAAGGGAAAAGTGTGGAAGAAAAAGGTGCACAAGCAGCAGGGATGACCACAGCCTGGAGAGGATTGTCAGGAAAAGGCCATTCAAGAGTGTTGGGGACTTTCACAAGTTTGAGGCTGGAGTCAGTGCATCAAGAGCCACCACACACAGATGGATCCTGGACATGGGCTTCAAATGTCGTATTCTTGTCAAGCCACTCCTGAACAACAAACAACGTCAGAAGCGTCTTACCTGGACTAAAGAAAAAACAGACCTGGTCTGTTGCTCAGTGGTCCAAAGTCCTCTTTTCTGATGAGAGCAACTTTTGCATCTCATTTGGAAACCAAGGACCAAGAGTATGGAGGAAGAATGGAGAGGCACACACTGCAAGATGCTTGAAGTCCAGTGTGAAGTTTCCACAGTCTGTGTTGATTTGGGGAGCCATGTCATCTGCTGGTGTTGGTCCACTGTGCTTCATTAAGTCCAGGGTCAATGCAGCCGTCTATCAGGAGATTTTGGAGCACTTCATGCTTCCTTCCACAGACGAGCTTTATGGGGATGCTGATTTCATTTTCCAGCAGGATTTGGCACCTGCCCACACTGCCAAAAGCACCAAAACCTGGTTCAATAACCGTGGGATTACTGTGCTTGACTGGCCAGCAAACTCGCCTGACCTGAACCCCATAGAAAATCTATGGGGCATTGCCAAGAGAAAGATGAGACATGAGACAGAACAATGCAGAAGAGCTGAAGGCCGCTATTGAAGCATCCTGGTCTTCCATAACACCTCAGCAGTGCCACAGGCTGATAGCTTCCATGCCACGTAGCATTGAGGCAGTAATTGCTGCAAAAGGGGCCCAAACCAAGTACTGAGTACATATGCATGCTTATACTTTTCAGAGGTCCGATATTGTTCTATGTACAAACCTTGTTTTATTGATTGCATGTAGTTTTCTGAGATTGTGGAATTGGGGTTTTCATGAGCTGTAAGCCATAATCATCACAATTATGAAAAATCACAGCTTGAACTATCTTGCTTTGCATGTAATGAGTCTATCTCATATATTTGTTTCACCTTTTAAGTTGCCTTAATGAAATAAATGAACTTTTGCACGATATTCTAATTTTTCGAGTTTCACCTGTATGTTTGTATCCCCTTTCACACAGCGTACCTATAAACAACAATAATAAATAATTCTTACTTTTATAGTTGTTTGCAGCAGGTTTATACATTGAACTGTGTAGGCAGCTTGCAAGCAATTCCAAAATGCTATTAGAGAAACAAAGTGGGGGGCATTTCTAGCATGCAATGTACCATCCAAGCCCTTCGATATTTTGGCCCCTTTGTTAGGACAAACTGTGTTCATATCTAGTTTACGGTTGATAATGAGATCTGCCAGCACAGTGCAGACAGGCTTAATTATGGTAAACATGACTCCACATCCCCTTCCTCATTATTACATAGAAGGGGAAAGCTATGCAAGATTTTTAAGCAATGCCTAAAAAGAACCAGACTAAAAAATAGCATCAGGGAGTTTGTTATATAGTTTGAAAATTCTACAAGTGGAATTGAAAGAAATGTTTGCAAGAACAGCACTAGAGGTTCACCAGTTTGGAAAAACCCTCTAAATACTTTTTATTTCCTGCAAATTTGTATAATTTTTGCATTTTACTTTACATGATTGAGATTAGGGATGCAGATACCAAGCATTTTCACAAGTACTCATACTCGTGAAAATGCTCTTAATACCTGAAACTGATACTTTGGCGTGCGATTTGTGTCAGTGGACGCAAATTGTACCTTAAAGAATAGCATGTGATTTTGAACAGGAATGCGGTATGATTCCTGTCCAAATCGCATGCGGTTTCCTCACTGCTCCTGTGTGAACCCAGGCTTGTCATAGAGTTCACACGGGAGCGATGCGGGAAGCCTCCCTGCACCAGACCCATGCTGTCACAGCACAGATACGGCGATCAGTAAGGGGGGCTGTGTTCCCTATGTGTATTCTCCGATGGAGATCTCTTAGTGTAGGGGGAGGGGGGACTGGAACACAAGCCTGTGGTGTCCTCTCGATATCGGCGAGTACTGCACCGAAAGTATCGGTACTCGTACACACCGATCAAAAAAGGGTATCGGTACATCCCTTATTGAGATTCTTTAAGTACCTGAAATGCAGTTTGGGTAAGCTTTCCAGCCTTGTGTGACCTGCTTATTTCTGGCAATTTAGGACCATTTCAAACATAAAAAAAGCGGCTAATAAATTTAAGCATATTATACTATAGTTAAGCTTTATATTGTAGGTCAAATTACATATGTACAAAAGTAAATTAGGATTGCAACAGAGAATTTTAAAGAGAAAGGAATTTTCCCAAGTAAATTTTAGCATTTTTCATATTGTGATACATTTCTATGACAATCTTCAGTAACTGAAGAAATTACTACTCTGTCAACATAAAAAATAGCCATCTCCTTTTCTCCCGTACATGATTTTTTTTTTTTTTTTTTTTTTTTTTTTTTTTAATGGGGGTAAAGTTTAGAATATTTGTTTGTCTTGAGGTTTTAGATATTGGATTTTGTTACATTGGTTTTTATTAAATAACCTTGGCCTTACATAAAACTTTTTACTAGTACAGGGATGTACCATGTCTGCAAAAAACAAATTTCAGCTAGCAGCAATTTAGTTGCCACCAAAAGGAATAATTGAAACTATTGCTTTAAGATACTCTGATTTTTATTATTGGTGTTCAGACCCTGTTGCCAGACCATCATTTTCACAAAAATACTCTCATGAAATTTTATGTGAATTTAACGTACATTATATTGCCAAAAGTATTGGGACACCTGCCTTTGCACACACATGAACTTTAATGGCATCCCAGTCTTTGTCTGTAGTGTTCAATATTGAGTTGGCCCACCCTTTGCAGCTATAACAGCTTAAACTCTTCTGGGAAGGCTGTCCACAAGCTTTAGGAGTGTGTCTATGGGAATGTTTGACCATTTGAAATGGCCTATTTTAGAATACAATCTTTCTTTAACAATGGATTTCATATAATGTGATGGTAAAGAGGAATGCTAGGTAGTAACCTAGGGCAGTTTATATATTGTTTAGCACTTTTATATTTGATTCCAGTTCACACAACAGTTATACAAGAATGTGCATTGCTTCACAATATGTGGGCACTTTATAAATATAGGATGATGCAAATAATATTTTAAAATATCACATCAAGTCAGTCCAAAGATATTTATGATCATACTTTCATAGTTATATTTTGTTTGTTTGTGTTGGAACTATTGGTTAAACATTAGGAATTATGGTTCAAAAACTAGTCTTTATACGTCGCTGGGTAGTTAATGCTTCTGAAACATATTGATTTGCTTTTTTTCCTTTAGGCTGTGTGGGCTGGATGGGGACATGCTTCAGAGAATCCCAAACTGCCTGAATTACTGCACAAGAATGGCATTGCTTTTATGGGTAAGAACTGGAAATTAAAAAATAATTTTAAAAGAGAAAAGTAAACGTATATGTGTTTGTATTGTCCCCTATACAAATATGAATATAATAAACAAACTGTGCTTTGAAATATTTTTTTCTTTTATTACGAGTCATCAAAATCATTCCAACTGGGAACTGGTACTTGTCTTGTATATACACTCACTGGCCAATTTATTAGGTACACCTTGCTAGTGCCAAGAAAATATCCCCCACACCATTACACCACCATCCTGAATCGTTGGTACAAGGCGGAATGGATCCATGCTTTCATGTTGTTTATGCCAAATTCTAACCCTACCATCTGAATATCGCAGCAACCAGACTGGCTATTCTCCTTTGACCTCTGACATCAAAAGGCATTTTCGTTCACACAACTGACGCTCACTGGATATTTTCTTTTTTTCGGACCATTCTCTGTAAACCCTAGAGATGGTTGTGCGTGAAAATACCAGTAACATTTTCTGAAATACTCAGACCAGCCCATCTGGCACCAACAACCATGCCACGTTCAAAGTCCCTTACATCCCCTTTCTTACCTATTCTGATGCTCGGTTTGAACTTCAGCAAGTCGTCTTCACCATGTCTACATGCCTAAATGCATTGAGTTGCTGCCATGTGATTGGCAGATTATCAATTTTTGTTACCAAGCGATTGATCAGGTGTACCTAATAAAGTGGCTGGTGAGTGTTATATATGTAAGACATTGTTGCACAACTTGTTATTCTGCAGTATTGCAGTATTCGTGCAATTAAATGGCATTGTTAGCTGTGTTTTGTGTGTGTGTGTGTGTGTGTGTGTGTGTGTGTGTGTGTGTGTGTGTGTGTGTGTGTGTGTGTGTGTGTGTATTTCCAGTAGCTGAATTTAAAATGTTTATAAGCCTTTTATTTACAAGGTGGCCCTTAATATCCCATACATTCTGTTTAATAAGCCTGTGCACTGGCATTACAAGACTTACTTTTTCTTTAGACTTTATGGAATGGTAAAACACACAGAGGACGATGATTTATTAAAGGAGTTGAACATATTCACATAATAAAATGTGTGAATATTAACTTTAATTACCCAATCATGTGAAAAGCATAAATTTCTCTTTACTTGTGTCATCTGCATATGCCTAGATAACTGAAGTGAATCTGCTTATTGTGAAAACCTTCTCACCTCCCTTAGTAAATCAGCCATAATGTGATATTGCGCATGCTTGTGTGCTGAGGTATAAGTTGCAAATTATATATATACTTAGATGATTATCTGCATTTTTTTTTTTTTTTTTTTTTTTTTTTTTTAGTTTTGGGAGGGGATGAGGGGTAGGAAGGGGGAGAGAAACCAGTGAAAATGAAGAAAAGACAGGGAGGTGGAAACAACAAATCAAATTTCAACAGTAGTCAGTAGAGACTGCTTCAGATTTTCTCGGGTACATTTTGGTTTGGTGATTTGTTTAAGCAATGAATAGGTGTATCCAGACTTACTGGGATATCTCGGCGGTGATGTTGACAAGCCGTGGCCATGGTATGGATGATATGGATGGTTCATTATGTAACTCCTCCAAAATCAGGTCTCAATGTTCTGTAGAGGAGTTTTTTTTTGAGTACCGTGTATTATTATTATTATACAGTATTTATATAGTGCTAAAAGGTTTGCTCAGCACTGTATATTATAGTGGGGGACAGAACATGAGACAATACAGTAACAAAACACGAGGGGGTTAAGGGCCCTGCTCTTTCAAGCTTACAATCTAGGAGTAGTGTTTTGAAAGGGTTGGACGATCTGTAGTTGTGTCAGGTGTTGTAGACCACATCCCATAAGCAAGGTTCATGTCTGCTGATCTATGGTGGGGTCTGCCCCTCTATGATGGGGAGGGTATGGGGAGAGGTTAGATTTAGCCTCATTAGTAAAAAAAATTGTTGTCCTTCAAGTAGAACTTGTATGAACAATCTGCTTATCCTGTAGCCCCCAACCCCCAGTTTGCTTTGGTGATGGAAACATGATGTTAAGCAAGTATTTCTTACGCATTTTATTTAAATTTTTCCAATTTGTTTTCTTTGTATTTCAGTCGGTCTTTTTTAACAGGAAACTGGAGGGCCAAACTTTGAATTGTCATGCAAGTTCTGCTTTAAAAATACATGTAAATAAAAATAATTCATGCAATACAACATCAGAAAGAGCTTTGTTTATCCCCCAAAATACATCATACACTTAACAAGCCCTACACTGGTTCCTAAAGGGTTCATAGATATTTATTAGTGAATGCTTACAGTGGTCACCACTATACAGTATTTTGTTAACCGCTTCCTGACCGCCCTATTGCAGAACTACTGCTACAGGGTGGCAGGGCTGCGCAAAATCACGTATATATACGTGATTTAGTATTTATTATTATACAGGATTTATATAGCGCCAACAGTTTGCACAGCGCTTTACAAAATGAAGGTAGAAATTACAGTTACAATATTATTTGGTACAAGAAGAAACAGAGGGCCCTGCTAGTTAGAGCTTACAATCTAGGTATTTCTGGGTAGGGGGTGCCCATGTGCCCTAACTGAGCTGCCATTGGCTGCTACCAATCACCAGGTCCTGGCCGGTGATTCCCCGCTGGCACCTGACGATCGCCGAGTATCACTGAGGGGGGGGGAGAGATCTGTATGTAAGCAATACAGATCTCTCCAATGTCATCTGCATAGCAGAGTCATGCAAAGCAGTGTGCTTACATAGTAAAGCACAGCACACAGTAAAACACACACAGCACACAGTTAACCCTTTGATCGCCCCAGATGTTAACCCCTTCATGATTTTTATTAGCACTGATCACTGTATTGTCACTGGGGATGTCAGTGACAGTCCGTTCCTACCCAGTGTCAGAATGCCTGCCTCAGTCCCTCTATAAGTTGTTGATCGCTGCCATTACTAGTATAAAAAAAAAATTAATTCCAGTATATATATACCGCCATTTGTAGACACTACAACTTTCACGTAAACCAATTAATTTACACATATTGGGATTTTTTTTTAGCAAAGACATGTAGCAGAATACATTTTGGCCTAAACTTATGACGAAATTTTTTTTTTATTTTTTTTTTTCTGGATATATTTAATAGCAAAATGTAAAAAAATAGTTTTTTTTCTCAAAATTGTCGGACTTTTTTTTGTTTATAGCACAAAAAATTAAAAACTGCACAGGTGATCAAATACCACAGAAAGAAAGCTCAATTTGTGGGGAAAAAAAAGGACATAAATCTTATCTGGGTGCAGCATTGCATTGCATGACCGCGCAATTTTCAGTTAAATTAACGCAAAAAATGGCCTGGTCAGGAAAGGGGGTAAATCCTCTGGAGGGCAAGTGGTTAATAAACCTTTTTTCCCTAAACTAAACTTGAATTGATATTCCAAAAGTAAATTCAGTTGAGCTTTCTTGATCAACAGTCATTAACTAGTAGTGTAAATGTTTGTTTTCACACACTTTCTGTTGTTTTTCTCAGGTCCACCTAGTCTGGCAATGTGGGCATTGGGAGATAAAATTGCATCCTCAATTGTTGCCCAAACAGCTGGAATCCCTACGCTCCCTGGGGAGTGGCAGTGGTAAGACTGTATATTTATATTATTTATTTTCTTGTACAAGTGAGGCTTCATGCACAGTGGACGTTTTCTTTCTCTCTTAGAAGCCTCCTGGCAGAAGCGTTTTGGCCAAAAAACCTCCTGACACTTGTAAAAGTGTATAAAGTTCAAGCAGTTGGGTGTTAATTTATTTCATTGACCAGAAGGAATAATTTATTCTGGCCATTGAAAAAAAATTAACGCTGAAGTGCTAACCGCTCCTAGTGTACACATGTGTAGATGTGTTCACACACGTCAAGCGTTTTTTTCTGTCAAAGCTTTGATGCTCCTTAACTCCCTGGCAGTGGGGTTTTTTCCTGCCTTTAAACTCCTGCACTAAAATGCCTATCTATACATGGACACATAGGATGACATACAGGAGAGTTTAGAGGCAGGAAAAAAAAAAAAGCCTGCTGGATGTCCCTAGGAGCATCTATAAAAACATCCAATGTGCATGACGCCTTATATTTATTCACCACAGATCTGTTAAGTTTAACTGTTTAAAATACTGTAAAGGGAAGATGGTTTTAAAAATAATGCATAAATGCATAATCGTGCATAAACAGAAATAATAAAATCGATTTTGCTGTGTTCACCCTTTTGCCTTTAAACTGCATCAATTCTCTGGGAGTGTCTAATTACTTTCTATGCTGGTCCAACTCCTCTGCCTCTTCCCTCACCTCATTACCTAGCTGCTGGGGATGGGGAGGTGGGGGAGAGCAAAGAGATAGCTTTGGCTGCCATCACATCTAAGATGGGGGCACCCAGCAGCAATCTCTCTGCTTTTGGCTGTCTACATAATGGAGACCTTTACACGTTAGAAAACATGCATAAAATAAAGTATATGAACATATGATCTTATGGGAAGGTTCTTATTGAAAGTTTGGTAACAGGGTATCTTTAAATCAACCAGAATCAACTGTTCTAATCCTTCCCTACTCTATTCAGAATGAAAATTAGAAATGTTCTGCAATGGGAATCTTTTATATGAATGCAAGATCACCAGGGATGCAAATAGCACATTTTCTCAGTGGACATGGATTGTCATTTCTGAGTTGCTTAAGGAAGTGGGTGGAAGAATATAAAAAAAAAATATTTAAAAAAAATTTTTTAAAAATATATTCTTCAGATTTTTTTTAACATATAAAAAGTCATTTTAACATATATTTTACATATATTTGTAAATGCATTCCAAAAATTTAGATTTGTATTTTTAAGACATACAGTATATTTGAAATGTATTTTTAAAAATATTTTTCATATATTTTGTAATAAAAACGCATTTCAACATGCAGTGCGTGTATGTATGTGTGTATGTATATATATATTTATTTATTGAAATATATTGAATATGGCCAAAATTGTAGCATTTCAAATATATGTCAATATATTTGGGAAGAATATTTTTTTTAAATATAATTTTTCTTTTATATGGGGAAGGCGTTGCGGGGGAGTGCTGTTAATGCTGAAATGTGGGCACAAACTTTTTTGGGGCATTAGCTAGTTACCAATAAGTTGCCTCTAATGATATATGGCAGCTCTAATATGGGACAATTGCTCCAAGTTTTAGCTATAGAGGACTTTCGTTTAACCAATAGCCGCCCGGCAAAATGCTGTAGATTTCCGGGGTGGACGCCATATGGCGTCCTCCCGGGCATGCGCAGTTTTCGCGTTTGCAGAGCCGTGCAGCAGCGCGATCTGTCACCGGCCGTGTACCTCGGACACAGCCGATGACGGATCTGAGTACCGGCCCCCATTGCAGTTACCATGTGACCTGCTGTGACCAATCACAGCAGGTCACATGACAGTTGTATACAATGGATGGCTTTATTCATGCCATCCATTGTATACTAGTGTCTAGCTGTGAATGGTCACAGCGATCACATTCAAATGTCATGTGATTAGCTGTGGCCAAATCACAGCTAAGCACAAAAAAAAAAACCCCTGAATGAATCGATGTCATTCAGGTAAATGCTTGCTTATAGCAAAGCAATTCTTTGCTATAAGCAAATTGTGTAAAAATAAAAAATAAAACAAAATACCGATCACTTCCCTAAAGTAGTACAATGTTACTATGGTAAAAAAATGAAATAAAAAAAATAAAAAAAAAAATATATATATATTTTTTTTTCATACTGTCACCAGTCAGTGTCCCTGTTCACCACCATGCCAGTTATATGATGATGCTGTACTGCACTGGTGACAGTATGTAAAAAAAAAAATTGTGAAAATAATTTTTTTAATTTTTTAATTTTCCGAAAAATTATCACAAAAAAAAATACAACTTCAAAAAACTCGCCATGCCTCTGATGAAGTACGTCGGACTGTCTACTTTGCAAAAAGGGGTAATTTGGGGGATATCTGTACTGTTCTGACATTCTTGGACCTCAAGATTGGCTGTCAGTACTTCAGGATTGATCAATATTCAGATCTATACCATAGTTTGTGAACTCTATAACTTTCCTACAAACTAAAAAATACATCCTAATTTGGGTTATTTTCACCAAAGACATGTAGCAGAATACATCTTGGCCTAAATTTATGAAGAACAATTATTTATTTGCAAACTTTTATAACAGAAACAAAGAAAAAACTTGTTTTTTTTTCAAAATTGTCGGTCTTTTTTTGTTAATTTAGCAATAAATAAAAACCCCAGCGGTGATTAAATACCACCAAAAGAAAGCTCTAGTTGTGTAAAGAAAATGATAACATTTTAGTTTGGGTACAATGTTGTATGAGCACGCAATTGTCATTCAAAGTGTGAGAGCGCTGAAACCTGAAAAATGGCCTGGGAGGGAAGGGGATAAAAGTGCCCGGTATGGAAATGGTTAAGGAATGGCCAACCCCCACTTCAAACTTGACATTTTAAGGCCTTGGTCAGTTTGTAATGGCATTCCTTTGGTGTATGAAGTCTTCCATTCTGTGAAAAGAATACAAAATGTTTCCTGAAAGGAGGAGCTGCACAAGAAGCGTCCTACTGTGATTACCATGCTGCAGGCCTGACTGTTGAACTTTGTTTTAGCGCCTGCCCTGTCTCTGAATAATCATTTATTGAGTGGACCAGTAGGACCAAACATTGGGAGCTACCTCAGTTATTTAAGTCTCTGGTTTAAAGCCCTTTCTACAGCTCTATTCTTACTGGGAGGCCCTGACCTGATTCTGATATCTCATATCTGATTTTGGCTGTCATCACTTTACTTTGTCAGACCATCTCTGACTGGTCAAAACCCCTTAAAAGCGATCTAATCACCACCAAGGTTGATTTCTTGGTCATAGAATGCATGGAGCAGATGGCTATAGTGTTGGTTTGTAGTAATGGTTTTCTAGAGGCCTACCATCTCATTTCTTGTTTCTGTCTTATGTCAGTTCATATACTTAGGGCACTTTGGCTTAAATACTAGACTGTAGAACCCCTGTGCAAAAAAGTGTTTGGTCCACATGGCCTTCAAGGTAGTGCTGGATATATAAGGGGACAAAAGGGCCAACTGCCCTGCCCCCCCCTACAAATATTTATATAAAACAATATAAAAACGTTTTAATTAATACAAATAAAATATATTAAAATGCATAATAAAAAATTACTTTCTTTAATGTAATTGTAATTTTTTGCCAGCCATCATCTGTAAAAGTTTTTCCTCTGGACTGATATAAAATTTTTAAAAAAGAATTGTGGCAGCTCAAGCTAACGACACATAGATCACTATGACTGGGGGTGTGTGTGCATGCACAACCTCAGAATGACATTGTGTCATGCATTTTAAAAATGTTTGACTGTCTGAGAATGTAAACCAACTCTGTGTATAAGAGCCCCTCCGGACCCCCAAGGTCTAAATCTGGCTCTGCTTCAAGGGACATCATTTCTTCAGACCAGCTCTTAACAATATCACTTAGGATGTTACTAGGGGTGAAATCACCCATCTGCCTCAGCAGAAGAAGAAGAAAGCTATTGCACATTTTAAGTGATGTATTTTTTTAGTTAACAATTGGATTTATTTATGTGTGTATACTTTTATGTACTGTATATGGATATACATTCTTTTTATATTTATTTTGTAGCCCTGATGAAGAGGGGAGTATGTTGGCCCCTAAAATGCATTGGATGTTTTAAGTGATCATAGGATGAATCCTTAAAATGACTTGGGCTTTTAGTATTTCATCTGGCACTCCTGTTGTGTTTTTTACGTTTGAAGTTACTTTTGGAGTACCCGCAGAAGGGGATTCTTGGTTCACATAATGAGCATTTCCAGAGTCAGTGAGCTCGCTGAATAATTATAATTTTCTTTCCAATTATTTTAACCCTTCCAAATAAGAAAAGAAGGTTTTGGCAGGTTCACCTAAAACAAGTGCCATGATTCCCAGTCTGTTGTAGCCCCAAGGCTTCTCTCAATTATGTGCACAAAAATAAAAGTCTCAGGAGCAGAACTATGTGAAATGCTATTGCAGTACGCATAGCATTTCTACCTCTGTGCTTTACAACTCATAATGTATTATGTTATCTAGGGATTGTCTTGCTTCAATGGATTTAGTATTCCAATAAAGCATATGCAAGGACATTACAGAGTTCAAACAGCGTTACTTAATTCCGGTTCAGCATGTAGAGGTTCCAAATTACAGTAATATAGCGGTTCCCTCTCTTTAGCTTGTATGTGTAGTGCAACAGTGTCCCATTGGGCGCAAAATGTGTTTTATCCTTGCGCTCTACCTTTCTGAAACTGAATTATGGTTTCTCTTTTCTGATGTCTAGGTTTAACAGTAGATTGGCAGGAGAGTGATCTTAAAAAGCGTATATTAAGTGTACCGCAAGAGGTTTATGGAAAGGGCTATGTAAAAGACGTGGATGATGGATTAAAGGTAGGTTAATTCCTAGGTTTGGATATTAAACAATTTAAAGTGTACAATCTTCTTAATGAGGATAGCTACTCTGTTGCATTTGTTTTAGTATTAGTCTGTTTGTATTACAACTGATTCTAACATGTATCTGGCTTCTAAATGTGAACTATAACACAGACTTTGTATATTTGCTTTATTTATAGTGAGGGCTATATTTTCATCACTGAAGTCTGTATACACACAACCTTTGGTGCACAGTGCAATACCCCTCATACACATTTTCTTGCAATTCCTATCATAGCTTAGGTTATAGGTTATAGGCATCAAAAAGCTTGTATTCAATGACTGTGTTTCTAGTGATGATGTGACAAAAGAACAGTGACCACCAACTATATGGTAAAATTTGCCTCTGCCACCTATAGGTACAGGTCAGCTAAGCGTACAAGACATTTTTTTTGTATTAAATTCCCAAAAATTAATTTTATTGAACAAAAAAAGTCTTGCCTACAGTGGCAGCTAACAAAGAACAATAGCATCCACAGCAAGATTACATGTTTTATGGGTCAAATATTTAATTCTCTTTGCTGGAGCTCTACGAATGGTCCTAAGGGCTCTTTAACACTGAAGCAGCATTCAACTGTCAGTTGTAAGAAAACTGTTTGCATCAAGCATCATCCATTTGGTAGGTACTATATTGTTGATGTTTTTGCTGTTTTATTTTTTTTTCTTGTGCTCCAGTCTTAGTAAATGATGTTGTAGACCAGGGGTGTCAGACTCCATTTCATTGCGGACCATATCAGCATTATGGTTGCCATCAAAGGGCCAGTTGTATCTGTAAGACTAGATGTCCAGAGCACTCCACCCTCCATTACATCAGATGTCAAGAATCCCACACCCTCCTAACATCACTGTGCACCCCCTTTGGGGGCAGAGCTGGAAAGCAGAAAGTGCAGAGTCTGGAGGAGGGCCAGAGGAGGAGTGGAGTCAGTTACCAGAATAACTGCCTCTCTATCTTTGGTGCTTTCCATGAGTTTCTAGTCAGGAGTGCACCTTGAGCACATACATGATCTTCGGGTAACATGTCCTATGATTCCATGTTTGCTAGGATACTGCACATATGCCTGAACATACCACCAGAGCCCTGCTCATACTGTTGTTTGAGCAGATGCGCAGTATAAGGCAGCACTCTTGCATTTTGTTTAGGTACAAGCGCAGTAGGGGAAACACTCCGATGCTGTGTTTAGGAACACCAGAGTGGTACATGTACTGTGAATTCACAACACTAAGCGACGTGGCTGGGCCAGGATTGTGCATGTCAGAGTGTCTCTAGGAGAACCCTATGTGGGCGAGGAGACACCCTTTGAGCAGAAAGTACAGACACTACACTCTCGGACCTAAGGTAGGCTGCAAAGGCTGGGGACAGGAAACAATAATTTTGGTATGCTTCTACATTTATTGTTATTGTTATTATTAATAATATATACACTCACACACTCAATAACAAGTTGTGCAACAATGTCTTACAAATACGTACACTCACCAGCCACTTTATTAGGTACACCTGTTCAATTGCTTGGTAACACCAATTGCTAATCAGCCAATGACATGGCAGCAACTCAGTGTATTTAGGTATGTAGATGTGGTGAAGACGATTTGCTGAAGTTCAAACCGGGCATTCAAATGGAAAACAGGGATTTAAGGGACTTTGAACATGACATGCTTGTTGGTGCCTGACAGGCTGGTCCGAGTATGAGTCGGAATGGTCTGAAAAAGAGAAAATATCTAGTTTTGTGGACAAAAATGCCTTGTTGATGTCAGAGGAGAATGGGCAGACTGGTTGCTGTGACATTCAGATGGTAGGATTAGAATTAGGCATAAACAACATGAAAGCATGGATCTATCCTGCCTTGTATCAATGGTTCAGGCTTGTGGTGGTGTAATGGTGTGGGGGAGATTTTCTTGGCACTAGCAAGGTGTACCTAATAACGTGGCTGGTGTGTGTGTGTGTGTGTGTGTGTGTGTGTGTATGTGTGTGTGTGTGTGTGTGTATTATATGTGTGTGTGTGTGTGTGTGTGTGTGTGTGTATATGTATGTGTATATATATATATATATATATATATATATATATATATATATATATATATATACTTTTTTTTTTTCCATGGAGGACTTAGTAACACGTTGAGGAATAATTTTTTTGTTACTCTGCTTTAACTTTTCTGCATGGCAGTTATAAACATTGCATATATTCGATATTTCATTGAGAATTCCACCTGCTTCTGTTTTGTTGAAACTGACAAGTGGCTTGCATCCACTTCCTACTTCATGGGTGCTAAGTGGGAGGGTCTGTCTGATAGATAAGTCCCAGCATTGTAATGAGAAAAAAGCTTCAATGCTTCAGGAAAAAAGCCAATCCCATGGGTAGGAGTTCTTTACAGGAACAGTGTACCCCAGTGTTGTTATTGGTGGCAGCGTGATAAAACATTTGAACTTTTGGCATTGTAGATAAAATAAGTTCAATTTACAAAGCTTTAACTTATTGATAAAGAGCTATATTTTAAGCATGTGACTGTAATTTTAAATCTCATTGGACTGTCACTGTTACATTTTTTTAAATGAAGCTCATTATCCTGGTTGTCAACTTTGTGAATTAAGCAATATATATGCTTTTTATATTTTTTTAAATGAAGGTGGACTGTTTGAATGTGTACATTTTTGCTCGTGTTTACCACCCAAAAAAAACACTGAAAATTATTTCCCAAATAAATTGAAAAAAAATTGCTTTGGTGAACTGTAAGAGTTTTTTTCCAAATGTGGCTGCATAACTAAAATCTAAAGCTTAACACGACCACAAAAACATTTCTTTTAAATATATTCTTCAATAACCGCAAAGGATATAAATTCACTTTGTGCACACCAAATGTCTTAGTACACCCATCTATTACCTTATAAAAGTAGCAGTGACATCACTGTGCTGAACATAGCCTGTGTAGTGAGCAGAGCTGTGGGAGGGACCCAGCATCTCCACCCACTACAGGCTGTTTGCAGAAAACTACAGGAGGGGGTGGAGACAAGACCAGTCACCCTGCAGAAGGAGTGATTGAGTAGCAGTGACTGGTCTTTTTTACAGAGGCAAGCTTTCACACTGGAGTACTGCACAGATCTGGAAGAAATACACACACACATGCACACACCTCTTGTATTTAGACACTTGCTCATTTCAGAGTTCAGTTTTAAGAAGAGATAGTAAGTGAAAAGGTTTGCTTTTATCCTACATACAGTGAATTTCATATGTAAACTGCACTGAATGTCTGGGCAGAATATATTTGCTTTTCATTCTGATTATGTATGTGTTTGTTAAAGGCTGCTGAGCAAGTGGGATACCCTGTAATGATAAAGGCATCTGAAGGTGGGGGAGGAAAAGGTATTCGCAAAGTGAACGTTGCAGAAGATTTTTCCAACCTTTTTCGTCAGGTAAACGTTGACATTTCAATATATGAAAATATGCATGCTGTTATTGGCGTGGGAGTTTCTGTTTGATGAAGTTGACAATACTGGTAAATAACTTGCCCTGCTGTTGTAATGTGGAATGCTTTTTTATGTAATCTTTACTTTAAGATGGTTTTTCATACAAAAATAAAGATGAAAAGGAAAAGTATTAATTACAATGATAGTAGAAAACATAGCTTTTGCAGTTTTCAGCATCAGCAACAAAGCAATGCCATTCACCATGGTTAAATAAAGTGCTGAAAAAAGGGGGAAAAAACAACAAATAATGAGGGAGAGGGGTAACATACCTCTGGAACGTGGATGCCTATGTGTAAAATGCCTGGACTGCAATCTCCTACACCAACCTGTGCCAATGAAAAGAAAGGAAAGGGGGGGGGGGGGGGGGGGGGGGGAGTACTGTGACAAAAAGAAAAACCAGAACCAAGCAATGGCTACCCAAAATGGTGAGGTACTCTTAAGTGTGGACTCTGCTAACATCCAAGCTACATCCAAGGCAAGGCAACATCCAAGCTAGAAGGGACATGGTCGGGGTCAGACGTGTGGTCTCACCATATCACCCAGACACCCCCGTGAAACGCTCACATTTGCCCTTGCACGTTGCCACCCAGTCTTAAGCTTCCATTATCTCGTTCACCTTTGTAATCCAGTCCTCCCTACTGGGAACAGGAGCCTGTTTCCAGTAGATGGCTATAAGTCTCTTAGCCACATTTAAGAGGTGCGGTTAAGAGCATAGTTTTTAATGGCTTAGTGGAAGGGTAGGGACGTGGAGCAGGAAATGAAACAAGGACAATGGAACGTCTACATCCAGAACATCCATAACTTCCTTTATCAGGGCTTTATTATGAGGACAAAAGGGGCGGATCGAGGGACGCTCCCACCACAAGTGTAGGAGCATGCCATGCTCGCCACATCCTCTCCAACAAAGACTGAAGGGTAAATACGTGACAGTGCTGTAGGCACACAATACCAGCGTGTCGTAACTTAGTTTCCTGAATCTTTGAGTCAAGGGAACTGGTAATTTGTGTCAATTGGTAAAGGTGTGTAGAGAACTCCACCCCAAGGTCATATTCCCACTCCCGGACAAAAGCAAGTTTCACAGTGACAGAAACCAAACTCAACAAGTTCTGATACCAGGTGGGATGAGGGCTCCTTCACTATAAATAGATGCTTGAATGGGGTGAGTGTAGCTACTGCCCTGATAAAGCAGCCTTGAGTGGCAAGAAAATGGTCATACATTCCCCAGGGGGGAACCACATAAAAATGCCCAATGAAGCCAGTGGGCTACAAAGGGGGCCAAAGGGAAACGTTTGTTAACTTGGTCCCAGACATGTAAGGCATGGGTTGTCAGGGGAGATGTATATGCGGACAGTCCTCTGTATTCATGGGGCAGTCACGGAACATAAGATAGATTGCGTCCCGCCAAGCATTTCTCCAGGGAGTAAATTAATTTAATTCAGTATGGGTATGAAAACGCCAATTTTAAAAGCCGTTGGAGAGCAAAAGCTGTATGTACCTCGGAAGCTCTCCACTTTTTTGGACCGGTGTAACATTGTCAGTGCCAATTGTTTTTTCCGCCCATTCCACACAAAGCCAATATTCATGCTATGTAGCCGAGCAAAGAAATTTTTAGGTAAAGGTATAGGTAGCATTTGCATAAAAAAAGAATACCCTAGGGAGGACATTTATTTTAATAATAATATTTATGCGACCCAGCCAAGTAAAGGCCGTTTTTGTCCAGGTCTGCAAGTCTTTTAGACAGTAGGAGATACTTCAATCAATTTGCCAAAATCTTTGCAAAAATCTTGATATCTACATTAAGCAGCGATATCGGCCAGTAGCTTTGTGGCAGGGCAGGATCCTTGCCCTCTTTGAGAAGCACTGTGATGTGGGCCAGCAAAGCCTGCAAGGGGATCAGGCCACCTTTGGTAAAAGAATTGAAGTATTGGCATAGAGGGCGAAGTAGGAATAATGCCTACTGTACCTGTATAATGGAGAGGGTCAGCTGGATATATGACCCATCGTTTTGGGGTCTGTTGACAATATTTTAGTCTGCATTGATATCTTTATATGTTACAGGGCTATGCTTTGTAAGCTTTTTTATAATTGTATGTGGTCAATAAAGTGTTGAGTTTTATAACAAATTGTTGCAGTGCCTATAAAGTCCATGTTTTTTTTGTCATATCTCCATCTAGTCAATGTTAGGTTGAGCCACTTTAGCACTTTGGCTATGCACCCACAGTAACCACCCAGTGTTGGGAGCATCCATTGTTATTATATTCAAATCAAGAGAGCAGCCAAAAGTAACAACTCTGCTCCTCCATTCATACAGTACGGTGGGTGAGTGTTGCCACCCTAGGACAACACGGTACTGGCAGTATCATCATGTGAAAATAAAACATAAAAGGCTAGAAAAAAAAAAAAAATGAGCCACTACATCAAAGTACTGATAGGCTGCAATATATTCCATTTTTGTATTTGGGTTTAGATGCTGATGGTGATCTATAAGGGACCACATCCTTTTTCCAAGTCCTCATGCAGCCTCCTTACACAGAACCTGGAGTACGGGCAGCAAGAAGACTGTGAAGGGGAAGTGTGGGACCTTAAATTATTGGATTTCATTTCTGTGCTTTTCTTTACATGCATTTGTGTTAAATTGCTGTGTGCTGCTCATAGAGCTTATAAAGTGCATCAAAAAGACAGTGCTGTATTCAGGTAGAATATGCTGCTTCATACACAATTAGCCTTTCATGGAAACATACGGAATCCTGAGTCAGAAACTTCTACTTAGATTGATGGAAAGAGATAGGCCCTTTTAGACCTCAAGCACACAGGACGTAAAAAATGACGCTTTTACAGCCGTTCTTTTTTTTTTTTTTTCTCAGCTTCTAAACGCACCTCTATATTAACCTATATGGTCATGCACACATAGGCATTTACAGGTGTATTAGAAGGGGAGCATTTAGGGACTGAGAAAATCAGACACCACCAGTACATTCAGGAGAGGAGCATTTGGGCATTTAGTGCTTGAGTATTCATTCATTCTAATGGCCAAAATAAACTAATATTCTAATCAATGGAATGAATGAATGCTCAAACACTAGACATGCCTAAAAATGTTTGCCAAACGCAGCTTTAGGCATGTTTTTTTAAGCAGCTTTTAACTACCCTGTAGCAAAAGGTGTCTAGGGGAGGAAAAAATGTCCTTACTGTTCAAGGCTATTGCAATTGATTCTTTTTAATGTACTATATGTATTTTTTAGTAATTTTATTCTTTGCCTAAGAAGTTTTTATTTTTCATAAATATGTTTTTTACGCTTGGATTTTATTTTTTCAGTTTGCCCTGAACGAGGTACATGTCTTTAGGAAATTTGAACTGAACTGCATTTCACACTAGTTTATTTTTAAAAGGTCCAAACGGAAGTTCCCGGTTCTCCAATTTTTGTGATGAGATTGGCCAAGCAATCACGGCACCTGGAAGTACAAATTCTTGCTGATCAGTATGGAAATGCCATCTCACTCTTTGGCCGTGACTGTTCTGTTCAGCGTCGTCACCAGAAAATTATTGAAGAAGCACCGACATCAATAGCCACAACATCAGTATTTGAGCAGATGGAGCAGGTGAGACTGCATGTTGTGTGTGTGTGTGTATAGCTACACTAACTTTGTGAAGTTGAATAAACGAGACTCAACTTTTGCAGTGAAATTTGAGAAAACCTTACTATGTTTTCCATTCTTATTCATACAGCATACCTAAAAATCAATTTGAAAAACATTTCTTACCTTTTCTAGGTGTTTGGAACAGGCCTTGGGCAGACTGCAAGCTACTCTGTACAATTTGAAATGAGGTGAAACTCAATCTGTCCCCACCGACAAAGAGGGACGCATCAAGTTTCCTCTCATTAACATACAATGCAGAAGTTCAGCTTCTAGATCTTTAACTATTTGTTAGGATGGACAGTGGTCAAAGTAAGTTTACAACTGTGAATGAGATCTACCAGCACAGTACAGACATTGTTAATGATGGTAAATATTAAAGTGTCATTTAACCCATATCATTAAAAACTATCAATAATGCTGTACAATATGCTGTTTATACTCCCTCAGTCACTATGGGATTAGTTTTCTGTATTCTCTAAAAACCCTGGTTGATCTTGTTGTTTTCTATTGTTCTCTCCATGTCCCCATTGCAGTTGGGGATTTTGCCGTGCAGTGTTGGCAGCTAGTGCACATGTTCAGTTTTCAGGGTATTTTCTACCTTGAGCATTTCCTTCTTATTACATCTGAGAAGCCCATGTGACTATAGAGTCATATATATGGGCATATACTGTACACTATATATGGAGATTGCAGCGCTTGTAAACAATCGGTGAACAAAAGAGTCCTTAGTAAACCAAATACTAGGTATAGACAATTTTTAAAATTAAACAACTTTAAAATTGAAGGATGTGGGATAGTCCAGCAAATATATAGGTGATATATAGGTGAATAAGAGAAAATAAGGTGACTTGAATATCCGTGTGGTAGTGATAATGAAATGCGCACTCACCGGACGCGCATGTCAAGTGCGCCTTATTTATATAATAATCCTGATGTATGGTAATGGGTGGTCCTCCCTCTGTGAGGTCCGAAGAAAGTGGTCCTCTTCCTTTAAGGGGTCCCCCTGTATAATCCTGGTGGGTGTTATCCCTCTGATGATGGCCTGGGTAGTATTCCGTCCTTGGAGCAGGTCTGCGGGTTAGAGCACTCCCCCAGGGGGCAAGAAACAAGAGCACATCCCCTCCATAGTATTGTCTGTATGTTCTGTCTCCCTTTGTAATGTACATGAGAGACTGTATTTATTAAAGTGCATGAGGGTGAAAGACAAGCATAAAACGTTGCAGACAGTAGTCTGAAAAAAGGAACTGACCAGCTGGTATGTTAAGATGGCCGCCGGAGCTCCACGTTGCTCCGGCGGCGTGACGTCACGGCGTGGCTCCTCCTAACGCGTATCGTGTTCCAACACGTCTTCAGAGGGGGGTCGCCTCTGAAGACGTGTTGGAACACGATACACGTTAGGAGGAGCCACACCACGCCGTGACGTCACGCTGCCGGAGCAACGTGGAGCTCCGGTGGCCATCTTAACATACCAGCTGGTCAGTTCCTTTTTTCAGACTACTGTCTGCAACGTTTTATGCTTGTCTTTCACCCTCATGCACTTTAATAAAATCTCTATTACAATACTACACTATGGGAGTGTTCTTGTTGCCCCCTGGGGGAGTGCTCTAACCCGCAGACCTGCTCCAAGGACAGAATACTACCCAGGCCATCAGGAGGGATAACACCCACCAGGATTATACAGGGGGACCCCTTAAAGGAAGAGGACCACTTACCTGGGACCTCACAGAGGGAGGACCAACCATTACCATACATCAGGATTATTATATATAAGGCGCACTTGACATGCGCGTCCGGTGAGTGTGCATTTCATTATCACTACCACACGGATATTCAAGTCACCTTATTTTCTCTTACTCGCCTATATATTTGCTGGACTATCCCACATCCTTCAATTTTAAAGTTGTTTAATTTTAAAATTGTCTATACCTAGTATTTGGTTTACTAAGGACTCTTTTGTTCACCGATTGTTTACAATCGCTGCACTCTCCATATATATTGTCTTTTCCATAGGTCATTGGTACCTTTTCTGTGCATAGCAGCTTGTTGTTCCTGACTAAGGCGCTTATACTACCTTCTATACAGTATACTGTACACTGTGGTACATGGGAGCCCACTCGCTTCCTCCTTCTCCATGCCCACTAACCAGCTAAACACAATGGGGGTGGGGTATTATATATTGAATGATGGAGGCTTCACCTCCCAGTTTTTCTAAGACACAGGCTGGAAGGACGTCACACAGCCGTGACTGGCAGCAATCCGCCCACAGCATGGTATTGCCAAAAAATAATAAATATTTCCTTTGAAATATAAATTTTTATGACATTTTAAACCCGTTTATTTATTTTACTCTGTATCCCAAAATTATTTTTTTTTTACATGTGACCATTAGCTGTGAACAGCTTCTCCTGCCACTGTTTCCCTACAGACAGGCTGGGAAGGAGCTGGGTCAAATGACAGCTGTATATCGATTAGGTAAAAGGTACTTGGATGTGTATTATTCTCTGTAATTTGAAACAGATTGACTAGGAGGATTCACCTGCAGTGAATATCACATTCAATACTCTTTAAATACAGTATGCCCTAGTTGCTGTGTGAACCAAGTGAACACCTGGGTGTAAAAATCAGAATCCCCAATGTGTCATTCATGTTAGTCTATATTTTTTTTTAAAGTCAAAAGAAACAATGTTACAGTACTATGGCTGCCACTACTGTCTGTTAAGATTTGTTATTGATAATGGAAAGTATGATATGCTATTGCTGGCTTCATATTTTCATCTGCTACAATGTACCTTTGCTTTGTAATTTATTTCTCCTAAACAACTGAGCACATTGTTTAGGTGTGGCTTAAAGATAAAGGAAAAGCAGAATTTCTACATTCCATTCTAAGTGCCCTTACTATTATATGTCCAGAGGTCAGATTATTGTTTCTGTACTGTTTGGTTCCATAGCATGAGCACCATATTTTTAGATTCAGGTCATAGATCATTGTTGTAAATCCATGTCAATCAACTACCTAGGTTAACTGTGTGTGGTTCCCTTACATCACCACTCTTTTATATTATACCTTTTAACATTGTTCTGCACATGTATCAGCAGCAATCCACTTGTCCATACTGGACCTATATGTTAACTGTCAGAAAAAAGCCATGTTCTGCTCAATGCTAAATGTGTATGAAAGAGCCTATGTAAGTAATGTACAGCATCTGTAACCAGTGTTCCACAACCGTCTTTTAAGAATAGGTTAGACCTAAAGTGGTTGTAAAGGTTGAAGGTTTTGTACCTGAAAATGATACTAAACACACACTGTTTAGCTTACATTGTCCCTTCCCTTTCTGTAAGTAGTTGATGTTCCTTTTCTTAATCAATATACAGCTGTCACATGGCCCAGCTCTTTTCCAGCCTGTCTGCAGGGAAACCATGGCAGGGGGAAGCTTCTAGTCCTCTGCTGCTGGTCATCAAAATAAAAAAAAAAACAGCCTTTGGGATACAAAGATTATAGTATTAGGGTGCCGCGCTCTAATATTGTATAAACTTGATTATTATATATAAATAATAGGATTAATAAACCTGGTGATTAAATTCTTCATGATCATTATTAGACATGTGCATAAAATATCAAAACGTGGTAACCAGTGAATAATCATTCAATTATAAATACTGTGAAATAAAAAAAAATATATAAAATGTCCAATAAATATAAGTCAAAATAAATAGAGAAAATACTGTGGAAAACAAAAAATGTTATTAAAAAAAGTCTCCAATTGATGTGAAAAAATGAATCCAAAGGATAGTGAAAAAAATGATAAAATGTTATTGAAAATATGTATGGAAAATCCTGTGAATATTCCAAAAGGCAATATATTCTCCTTCTAATCAGCCTAAAGATGGATATATGCTGCAATGTGATCCTCTGTAATGCAATCAGCTGTTGATCGTATAGATGTGCAGATCACTCCCTTCTCAGTCTCCTCAATCCAGTTTTCTATAAATCCTCATAGTAACCAGAGAGAAAAGAGAAAATACATAGTGTCTTATCTTTGATAAAAAACTGTAATTTATTATGTGCCCATATTACACTCACATGATTAAAAACAATTAGCGCTTTTGTATGAATACCGCTGTATGCGGTTATTATCAACCTCTTCAGTGTGCTTGCACACACTGTCAGTACTCGCCGTGTCTGGAAGCCGGATAATTGGTGACGTCACTGCCCCTCCCCAACGCGTATCGCTACAGGGACTCGTAGCTTTGTCTGGGGGATATAGTAAGCCTTTGGGATACAAAGTAAAAATAATTAATATCAGTAAACTGTTTCAAGTCATCATTCAAATATATATCTGAAATAAAATCTTTATTATTTATTGGCAATAACATGGTATGAGCTGATTTCTACCGGTCACAGGCTATGTCATGCCCCTCCAGCCTGTGTCTTAGAAAAAAAGGGAGGTGAAGCCTCCATTAAAAAAGATCTAATATCCCACCCCTATTGTGTTTGGCTGGTTTTTGGGCATGGAGGCGGAGGGAGGGAGGGTACGGGCTGTCATTTATCCAGAGTGTATACACCCACGTGTGACTCTATATTCACATGGGCTGCTCAGCATAGAAAATGAAACAATAAAACTTGAGCATATGCAAGAGCTTCCAACACTGCTTTACAAAATCCCCAACTGCATTGGGGACATGGACAGGAAGGGGAGATACAGCAGGATCAACCAGGTTTTTTCCAGAATATAGAAAAAGAATCCCATAGTTACTGAGTGAGTATGAACAGCATGTAATATTTATTGATGGTTTTTATGATGTGAATTGGTGAAATTTTAATACATTCTATTTTTGTGTAGCTTCCTCCTGCCCCCCCAAAAAAAAATTCACTTGAACCCGATCTCGCTCCAGTGCTGTGCCCAAGAACAGCAGTGCTGCTCTGTCTCTCCCTCCTCACTAGACTCGGTTGGAGCATCAGAGCCATTGGCTCTTGCTGCTGTCAATCAAATCCAGTGATGAAGGGGCAGGGTCGAGATACACCGTGTGTATCAATAGACACACACTGCACTGTTTGGGATTGAGCCTGCTTGAGTGCAACTTGCTATGGGGGCACTCAGAAGGCAGGAGGAGCCAGGAACACTGGCCGGGGACCCCAGGAGAGGAGAATCAGGGATGCTCTGTGCAAAACTTTTGCACAGAGCAGGTAAGTATAGCATATTTGTTATCTAAAAAAAAAAAGAAGAAAAATATTTACAATCCACTTTAAAATGTAAACTCTAAAACTGTAGCTCTTCTGGCATGTTCTCGGCCTACAGTGGTCAGGATCTACCAAAAGTAAGCCAAAAAAGGAAAACTGGCAAACTGGAGATGGGGTCATTGGTAGCCAAGACTCTTTGATGCATGTGGGGAGCAAAGGCTTGCCCCTGTTGTCCAGTCCAATAGAAGAGCTATTGTAGCTCAGATTGCTGAAAAAGTTAATGCTGGTTCCAATAGAAAGATGTCAGAACACACAATCCATCGCAGCTTGATGCGTATGGGACTACGTAGCTGCAGACCGATCAGGGTGCCCATGCTGATCCATGTCCACAACCAAAAGCGCCTACAGTGAACGAGTGAGCATCAGAACCAGATCATAGAGCAATGAAAGGTGGCCTGGTCTGAAGTATTCAAGGATGGTTTGTGGAGCACAACAGTGAGTTCCAGGTGTTGACTTGACCTCCAAATTCTTCAGATCTCAATCCAAACAAACATCTGTGGGATGTGCTGGAAAAACTTGTCCAATCCATGAAGGCTCCACCGTGGAACTTACAGGACTTAAATGATCTGCTACTGATGGCTTGGTGCCAGGTACCACAGCATACCTTCAGAGGTCTAGTGGCATCCATGGCTCGATGAGTCATGGTGTATGGTCATAATGTTCTGGCTGATTGGTGTAGTAGAAAAGGGCAACTGCTTCACTGTATGTTGAAAAAACTGGGCACAGCAGTCCACTCATCAGCATGCTGTCATAAACATATTGCACAGTGAAAGCATTGGCAGTTTCATGCACATCCTAACAGTATTCCAATAATGATTGGTCATTTATATTGCAGTGAAATAGTTAAAGTTGACATTCATAACATTGAATGATTTACTTTGACAAAGACAAAGGTTCCACATCCAATGCCATGTTAGTTTAAGAAATAGTTCATTAAGTCGGGTATAATGTGTCACCTTTGAATAGGGTCTTCGAATAACAAAGATAGACATAGATACTATACTTAGCCATCCATCATCACCCATGGAAACTGTGTCAGTAGACAAAAGGTGCGAGGATTCACATGCATTAAAGTGTAGGCCATACAGGCAGATTAGCAGCATGTTCTGATGTGTTTTACCTTAGTAGCATCCAGGGGCGGACTGACAACTCATGGGGCTTCCGGGCAATAGGGGATCATGGGGCCCCTGTGTCCTTGCCAAAACTCAAAAAAGCCTATGAAAAAGGTACCAGGGGCATCTCATGGGGCCCCCTTCTGACCCCGGGCCCTTGGGCAGTGCCCGAATTTCCAAATGGTCAGTTCGCCCCTGGTAGCATCATCAGAGGACCACGCATCAGCTACTTACAGCACGGCATTTCAAACCCATATAGAGTAAATTTTTCACATGACAGTGACGATCATAAGCTCCTTCAACCTAGAAGAGCAGACCTTGTTGGAAAACAAAAGCATAAAGTGGCACGCAGCAGCGGAACTCATCTTCCAGCCAAACTGGGACCTAGATAGTGCCCTCTTTTGTTTGCTGCAACAGCAGTGAAGTACCGAACCAAAACAGCTTAGATTACCACTATGACATGCATCAAATCCACATGTAAAAAAAAGAACTAATCAAAATATATGGATAAGCAAAAATACCAATTAAGTTTGAACAAATAATACAAATATTGTGAATCATATCCCTCATGTATGTGTTCCTATTAGAGAAATAATTGAGCAATTTAAGGCATTTCTTTACTAACCCCCTCCTACTCTGTACATTTATTTAGCTGTTTTTGGAGAAACCCCTGGTTACATGCATAGATTACTATCTGTATCTGTAGTTTTTTTTAATTATGTGGCCTTAAGCATACTCACAGGTTACATTTATTCAATCATCTGCTTGACTTAAAAGAGAAGTTTGATAAATGAAAAAAACATCGCCTTGGAAGATGCAGCATCGGTCCGATGCCACACCTTTTCTCCTCCGCTTCTACACTGAGAACTGAGCAATTAAAGACAACTGATTGCTGAGCTCTCAGTCTTCAGTAAGTGGAGAACAGGTGACTGTCAGTCTCTGGCTATCTGCTCTGCCCCTTCAGCACTCACTGGAGCACCGGCTGTGAAGGGGGTGAGAGCGGCTGGCTCAGTCTCTCAGCGGCCTGCGCAGAGGCTGAGCCAGCTGTCGGCCAAGGTTTCTGGGTGGATCCCGACATTGAAGTGATCCCTCCAGAGCCCGGACTGGCTGAATGACATCAGCCAACAGGGAATTTTAGCCTGCTGACAGCTGAAAACAGGTAACAGGAGTGCAGAACTAAGTGTAGTCCTGTGACCTACAGGAGAAGCGGGGTCAAAATAGCTTTGACCCTACTTCTCCTTTAAGTAGCCTTGGATACAAAACCAAAAAGAGAACCTATTCTCAATTATTAAAAAGGGTAACTCCACTTTTGTGGGAAAAAGATAGCAAATAAAATAAAAATAATATAGTGTATTAAATTGCAATGCAAGACATATTGTGATTGAATGTTATTAAAAATGACTTTTCCTTTTCAATCTGCAGTGCTGTAATTCTGTAAAATACAATGCAATATGGCTATCAGGAGGCATGCTGTACACAGAAGGTGTACAGGACGCCCCCAGAAATATCATATCCTGCTTGTGTGATTTGGCTCACTGATTTTCCCAGAAGTCTGCACAAGATACAGGTTAGATTTCAGGCATCCCCTGCAACAAAAATGTCATTTTTTATGAGATTCTCCCAAAGGGCAATCCTGTCTAACGGGATGCAGACCCTGCATCTTTCTTCATTAGAGCCCTGCAGGTGCAGCAGCTGATTGATAATTATGAAACCACTCCCATACAGATTCACTCTGCACATGGACACAGACAAACAAGCAGCTCAGTCAGAATAAAAAAAGTTAGGAATCTGCAACAAAGTTTGTTAAAATCCTTACAATGTACATTGATAAACCAGAGGAGAATGTTGTTTTTTTTTTTTCTAAACAAAAGTGGAGTTCCTTTCTAAGCATTCAGGAAGTCTGACAGTTTGTATATTTTTTTGTTTCTCTCAGTGTGCCGTAAAGCTCGCTAAAATGGTGGGATATGTAAGTGCCGGGACAGTTGAGTATCTTTACAGTCAGGATGGTAGTTTTTACTTCCTGGAGCTAAACCCTCGCCTGCAAGTGGAACACCCCTGCACAGAAATGGTGGCTGATATCAACCTCCCAGCTGCACAGCTTCAGGTACCAAACATTTCGCTACTTGCTTATTCCATATGTAATAATTCTGAAGTAATGCCTTTTATCATTTGATGGAAGAGACAGTACTATGAGTTATGTATATCCTGCTTTCAGTAGGATTGGCAGTAACAATGTAGATTCTGCCTTCTGGGCTTTACCTCCCATAGCAGTAATAGTCTTTTTAAACTTAAAGTGAAATCTGATTGCCAATGAGGAGCAGAAGTTGTCCCGAGTGTACTGCCTGACAGGCCAAAATCTAAAGTTGCGTAGTTCTATATAATTAAGAATGGGGTATGCCTTTATTCTGAACTTGCTAATTGCCTGGCCATCATGCAGACTGAGTGTTCAGATAAATATAAGTCTGTGTTAACTGATGTTTACATTGCTGCATTCCTGTTCAACCTCAAAATCCCTCAAAGGGCCGAAACCATTGAATCAACATGGCAGTCAACCAACAACCATTTTCGGAAGGAGGGCAGCAATTACAACCAATATATTTCTCCCAGATAACCTTTACTGAGAAACATGGAGGTATTAACTGCTGATCTCCAGTGTTGAATGTGGCGTCCCTGGATCCCCAGATGAAGTGAGACTTTCTGCCCAATAAGAGTATATAGTGTGCAGTGGTCAGGAGTATGACACATATATTATGGCACATAGAGTGCAGTAGTCTGAAATGTGCAATGCACAGCATAGTGTGTAGAATTTAGAGGTCAGAAGTATGTCATATGCAGCATAGGGCAGGGCTTGAAAAAGCCGTTTGCCAAATGCGAGGAGAAACTCCTCTGTGGCAAGCGGCGAGCACAGATGAAGCATGGAGCAACTGCACCTGGGCTCCAAGCCTCATTGTGAAGCCGAGTTCCAGTTTCCAACTTCTGGTTTCCGGCTTCTGCGGCACCGCCGCCGAGGGGACAGGTGCAGGAGAGGTCCGCTGTCCTCCGCTGAGAGGAGACACCCTCTCCACCGCCGCAGGGGACTCGGGGGGACAGTAAGTACTGTATACAACATGTCCTAATACTCTAATGGAGTACAGGGGAGCTGAGATATACCTTACTCAGTAATGTATATCCCAGCTCCCCTGTACTCCATTATAGTGATATGACATGTATACAGTAATGATTACTGTATACATGTCATATCACTATAATGGAGTACAGGGGAGCTGGGATATACATTACCTGTGTACATGTCATATCACTATAATGGAGCACAGGGGAGCTGGGATATACATACTGTATACATGTCATATCACTATAATGGAGCACAGGGGAGCTGGGATATACATTACTGTATACATGTCATATCACTATAATGGAGCACAGGGGAGCTGGGAGGGATATACATACTGTATACATGTCATATCACTATAATGGAGTACAGGGGAGCTGGGATATACATTACTGTGTACATGTCATATCACTATAATGGAGCACAGGGGAGCTGGGATATACATACTGTATACATGTCATATCACTATAATGGAGCACAGGGGAGCTGGGATATACATACTGTATACATGTCATATCACTATAATGGAGTACAGGGGAGCTGGGATATACATACTGTATACATGTCATATCACTATAATGGAGTACAGGGGAGCTGGGATATACATACTGTATACATGTCATATCACTATAATGGAGTACAGGGGTGCTGGGATATACATTACTGTGTACAGTTTTATATTTTGAACTATTTATTCTAAAGAAAAATTTAATTTCATAAGCTTTAAGGAGGCGTGGTTGGGTTGGGTCGGGGGTGGAATTTGGGGCGGACTGGGGTAGGGTTGGGGGCAGACCTTGGCAAGGTTGGGTGGGGCAACTGGTGGAGAGTAAGTTTTTTTGTGACCGCCTAGTAGGTCTGGACTCGAAATTTTAACCCCTGGCATAGGGGACACAGAGTACATTAGTCAGGAGTATGTAAAGTACTGCATAACCATTGGAGTGCAGAAGTGGGGAGGATGTATATAATGTATCATAGCATATAAAGTTCATTGTTCAGAGGTATGCAATGAAGAAAAAAGTCTCCCTAATTTTGCTAGTCGGTGTGAGAAATCCCCCTTACACTGGACACTTCGAACTGACCCTAAGTGTAAAGTAGTATTTTTTTTTTTTCTTACCACTGACCACAAATACACTATATTACCAAAAGTATTAGGACGCATGCCTTTACACACACATGAGCTTTAATGGCATCCCAGTCATAGTTTGTAGGGTTCAATATTGAGTTGCCCCACCTTTTGCAGCTATAACAGCTTCAACTCTTCTGGGAAGGCTGTCCACAAGGTTTATGAGTGTGTCTATGGGAATGTTTGACCATTCTTCCAGAAGTACATTTGTGAGGTCAGGCACTGATGTCGGACGAGAAGGCCTGGGCTCACAGTCTCTAATTCATCCCAGAGGTGTTCTATCAGGTTGAGGTTAGGACTCTGTGCAGGCCAGTCAAGTTCCTCCACCCCAAACTCGCTCATCCATGTCTTTATGGACCTTGCTCTGTGAACTGGTGCGCAGTCATGTTGGAACAGGAATGGGCCATCCCCAAATTGTTCCCACAAAGTTGGGAGCATGAGATTGTCCAAAATGTCTTGGTATGCTGATGCTTTAAGAGTTCCCTTCACTGGAACTAAGGGGACAAGCCCAACCCCTGAAAAACAGCCCCACGCCATAATCTCCCCTCCACCAAACTTTACACTTAGCACAATGCAGCCAGGAAATTACCGTTCTCCTGGAAACCGCCAAACTCAGATATGTCCATCGGATTGCCAGACAGAGAAGCGTGATTCGTCACTCCAGAGAACACACCTCCACTGCTCTAGTCCAGTGGCGGCGTGCTTTACACCACTGCATCAGATGCATTGCACTTGGTGATGTAAGCCTTGGATGAAGCTGCTCGGCAATGGAAACCCATTCCATGAAGCTCTATACGCACTGCTGTGCTAATTTGAAGGCCACACAAAGTTTGGAGGTCTTTAGCTATTGACTCTGCAGACAGTTGGTGACTTCTGTGCACTAAGCTCTTCAACATGCACTGACCCCACTCTGTCATTTTACGTGGCCTACTACTTCATGGCTGAGTTGCTGTTGTTCCCAGTTTCTTCCACTCTGTTATAATACCACTAACAGTTGACCGTGGAATATTTAGTAGCAAGAAAATTTTACAGATGGACTTGCCTAAGTACATGATTTTTTACACCTGTGGCCATGGAGGTGATTGGAACACCTGAATCCAGTGATTTGGAGGGGTGTCCCAATACTTTTGACAATATAGTGTATATTAGAGCTTCACTTTCATTGGCCGCTAGTGAAGAGGGCTATGCTTCCATTGCCGAAGCATACCTTTTTATATTGGTGGTCAGTGGAAGAATGCTTCATTATGTTGGTGTCGGTGAGAGACAGGATTACCCAACATTGGTGTTCTTGGATACTTGCCTGAGATGATATGCAGTGTTCCACAGCCCTGTATCTTGATGCAAAGCACAGGTGCCCTACAGCACCATTAGTCTTCCTACAGTGGCCTGCATTCTGGTTATTTTGCTGGCCCCAGACAGGTATCTGGGGTACAGACATTCTGGTGCTAGACTGGGGCCTACCAGAGGATCCTTAGGTAGTCCAATGTTTGCTAGCTTCAAAACATTCATATTGAATGATCTGGAACATTTTAGCTCAGGAATTATGACTTTAATCTCAATTCACTTGATGAATGCTTGTCAGTAACTCAAAGTATTGTAGCCAGACGATCAGCATGACACCCAGGCAGTTAACATTTTTGGAACAAACTATTAGGTTTCCCTTGGGCAGGGCCAGTGTTGAAATTCAACACTGGAAGTGATATTGTGTCAGCATCACTGGTGTTGTGGAGTTCCTGGCCATAACCATATTGCCATGTTATGGCTGGCAGGTGTTCAACCTGAAGGAAAGGCTTATATTAAAAGAATTGCATCCCAAAATGCTGACAAATAAAAAAATATTTTACAGCGAGTACAAGAAAAATCCCCCTTGTCAGTATTACCTTTCCCAACACTGTGTAAGGTATTTGTTATTTAGATGTGGGTAATACTTGGAATCATAGGATGTGATATCATGTATTTTTGTGTCGTTTTTCCAGTTTTTCTGCCTTGTTAAGAGATAATTCATGGAATAGGTGTGTACCTGTTTTTATCATGTAGAAGAATAGTAGCTGAGACCTCTCACTATTGTCAGGAAATTTTTCATAGGATAGGAATGCAGAAACTGTCTTTTCACTATATACCCCATATTAGATTTATAGCATCCTGCTACATAAACTGCATTGAGAAAACCTCAAATATTTAAAATTTCGGACAGTTGTTTCCACCTGACACTTAAATATGCATAAATTGTACTTATCGGTGTTAGATATGGTGCCATGTTGCTACCAATCTGTTATAGAGATTTTCATGAGTGAAAATGTGGAAGCAACTGGAAACAACAGCAACTTAGCCATGAAGTGGTAGGTCACATAAAATAACAGAGCGAGGTCAGCACATTGCTGGAGAGGTTTTTTTTTTTTTTTTTTTGGGAGGGTGGATGTGATCAGCCTCATAGGACAGTCAGAGGAGAATTACATTTCCTTCTACATGCTTTAAACAGTGCTCGGCCAGACACTGATAGAAGTCACAAAACTGCTACAGTCATGCCCAAAAATATGGGCACCCCTGCATTTATGTCAGACAATGCACCACTTCACCGAGAAAATTGTTGCAATACAAATGTTTAGGCATTCTCGTGTTTATTTTTTTTGTTTGTATCGGTATGACACAAAAAAGTGGAGAAACAAAAAGCCAAATCTGACACATTCCATGCAAAAAACTCCAAAAATGGACTGGACAAAATTATTGGCACCCTCAATTTAATTTAATATTCTTCTTTTGCCAGCTGATCCAGGTCTCTTGGATTGGAAGGGTTTCTTTACCCAACTGCCATTTTGAGATCTCTCCACAAGTGTTCTATGTGAACTTTAATGGCATCCCAATCCGTAGGGTTCAATATTGGGTTGGCCCACCCTTTGCAGCTATAACAGTTTAATTTCTTCTGGGAAGGCTGTCTGCAAGGTTTAGGAGTGTGTCTATGGGAATGAGAATGCCTAAACATTTGTAATTGCAAACAATTTTCTTTTACATTATCTGACAGAAATGCAGGGGTACCAATATTTTTGGTCATGACTCTATATACTGCTGATGAGAAAAGGTATTTAGCAGTTTATATTTACTAAAAGAATAGCATTTCCATGTTGTGTGTACTGTGGGAGACTGGATATAGTGAATGGAAGGTCCTGGGTTTAGTAATACTGTAAGGATGAAGGTATGAGGTAGGCTAAGTTGCGGAAAGATAATGGAAAAGGGCAAAATATGCAAGAAGAGGGACCCCATTAGGCTTTTATTACGGTCTGCATCCACAGAGTAGGATCATCTTGTCTGTTTATACTACTGGCCATCGTTATTGGAAATTAATATGAGGGAATTTTTAGGGAGATGCTTCCTTCTTAAAATTGTTGCACTGCGGAAGGAAAGGGGATGTGGCTTTGGGATTCAGTGCTTTAGAAGATCCATTGGGGGATGTTTTTGGATGCTGAAAACTACTGTAAGTACAATTTAAAAATGTTCTTGGTTTTTTCAAATTCCTCATACTTTTTGTTTTACAAATTTGTACCTGCACAGTGAAATGGTTTGTAGTGTAAAGGTTCCCTACAAGCAGTTCAACAGGAATGGCATGACCACTTACTTGTCTCCCCTGTGAAGCAGGCTAGTGGCACATCAGTCTCCCTCCATGGCAGCCCCATCTTCTGGGCACTGGAGGTGCCATAGAGCTCAGTGTACATCATTTGTGCCCACTTTTGGGTGGAAACAAAGCGGTATACAGACTGATATCATCATCATTGCAGAGGTGAATGTGAGAGGGGAATGTGTTTTTGAGTGTATGAGAGGTCATTGAATGTGCTATATAACAGTCACTGGTTAATGAGCTCTGGAGTATGATCATTTTGTTGTTCTGAAATTTGGATATGTTTTATGTGAAATTAATTGTACTGTGGTCACCATTTTTCCACAGATTGCCATGGGAATTCCCCTCCACAGAATAAAGGATATTCGAATGTTGTATGGCGTTCCAGCTTGGGGAGATACACCAATTGACTTTGATAACTCTCTAAATGCTCCTTGTCCAAGAGGACATGTCATTGCTGCTCGTATCACTAGTGAAAACCCAGATGAGGTACTAATTCTATTTATTTTAATAGGATAAATAATCCTGAGCTTTCTAGCAATAACTACAGTGGTTTTAAAAGCTCAAGGTTCATTACCTTCATGCATTCTATGTACGAAGGTAAAAAACCTGTGTGCAGCAGTGCCCCCAACCCCCTCAATACTTACCTGAGCCCCATCGAGATCCAGCAATGTGCACGACAGCCTCGGCTGTCCCTGGTCTCTGCCTCCTCATTGACTGAGACAGCAAGCAGGAGCCATTTGCTCCACTGCTGTAAATCACAGGCAGTCAGCCAATGAGGAGAGAGGGGGGTGGGGCCAAGCTGCAGCCTCTGTGTGTGAATGGGACGCACGGAGCAGTGGATGCCCCCATAGCAAGCTGCTTGCTGTGGGGGCACTCGACAGGAGGGAGGGGCCAGGAAAATCTGCAGGGGACCCAAGAAGAGGAGGATCCAGGCTGCTGTGTGCAAAACCACTGCACACAGCAGGTAAGTATAGACATGTTTGTTATTTACAAAAATCTTCTGCAGTCCATGTAAAATACTAATGGGATTTGTCAAAAGCATTCAGTGAATAACAATCTTATGGTATATTATGTATTTAAAAGATATATCAAGGATGGAAAATTTAATAGCCTCATTCAATAATGAGGTACATCACAACAAAATGTGTTTGATGTCTTACGGCTCATTTTCTTTCTAAAGCTGCCACAGCCTAATAGAAAAGTCTTTCCCCTGCCAGCAGCTGCAGAGTGCGTCCATAAGGCCCTATGTACATATGATACTTCTGAACGATGGAAACTGACTGCTGGAAAACGTAGGTTAAAAATGTCTGTTTAGCCACGTTTGCATAACGCGTTTATGTGCGTTTGCGTTTAGAAGCGTTTTTTTTTTTAAAGATAAGCACAGGAGAACCTCCCAAATGCCCAGAATGCACTGAAAAGTGGTAAATTATTAACTATTTCAGACTGTTTCAGAGAAATACAGAGAGTAGAAGCAGAGACAGCAGTATGTGTTGAAATTAGCTTAGGTGTGAGTTTCTCATTAACATTTCTCTTGTTTCCAAGGGTGGGAAGGTGTCTGGAGGAGTGAGTCATTAAGGTCACCTGGCAGGGGGTCTTCATGAGGAATTTGAGGTGTGAATGGTCATTAACATATCTTTTGTTTCCAAGGGTGGGAGAGGTCTGAGGTGTGAATTGGTCATTACAATGTGTGACAAGCTCAGTAGGAACATCCTGTGTTCAGTGTTTTGTCCATCTGAGTACCTTGAAAACGCTCTGTATGCATTATTCATAATGAAAAAAGGCTCTGGACAGAGCCTGAACTGAAAGAGTTAAAAACAATTTTCAGATGAAAACACTTATAAATGCAATTTGCCGCGTTTACAAGTGTTTTGCGTTTGAAACATTGATAACATAGACTGCTGAATGCAAATGCCTGTACACGACTGTAAACGAAGATGTGTACATGGACACATAGGAAAACATTAGGGAGAGTTCAGAGGCTGTTGAAAAAAACGCTGAACAACTCCTAAACGTGAGTGTATCAGCTGCAATGTACATGAGCCCTTATTCTCTGTAGGACACAACTGTCTCCTTGCAGAGGCACAATATGCCCCCTACTGAGTCGGACCTATAGTATAACTCTGCAATCAGCAAAGCTCATGCTTCCTGCTGACTGGAGAACTGAAACTCAGTAGGGGGTGTGTCAGACCTCTGCAAAGAGACCACTGTTTCTCCACAGAGAACAAGGGTCTCAATCTGCTGCATATGGGCAAGGGACAGACTGTTCTACTTAGGCTTTTTAAAGACCCTAAGAATCCTAAAATCCCTGACAAATCTGCTATGGTGTATATAAAGAAAATGCAGAAAGCTACATCTGAAGGTAGACTCTACTCACACCTGACATGTTGGTATTTAAGTTGCCTCAGAGATCGCGGCCTACTTCCTGTGTGGCTGTATTTTTTATTTGTGCACTTCTCCTGTACTTGTGCCCACCTCACCTATAAAAACGGCAGCTGGTTTTGCTGTGATTCATATTTTGTAATTGTTCCTGAACTTGAGCTTACAAAATGCAGGGCAATAAAAAGAGCCTGCCCCAGAATTACTATGAAACCTTTGATTTGACTGGCTTTAGCATGGTTTCAGTGTTTGCTAGATGTTGTTAGTAGGTTTTCAGATTGATTTAAGCCTGTCCTGGAAGTTTTGCTTTAAGAAGACTACATCAGCATGGTTTGATGTTAAATCACACAATAATGTTTTACTTCTCCTCAGGGTTTTAAGCCAAGCTCTGGGACTGTGCAAGAACTGAATTTCCGCAGCAGCAAGAACGTGTGGGGCTACTTCAGTGTTGCTGCAGCAGGAGGTCTCCATGAATTTGCTGATTCTCAGTTTGGACATTGCTTTTCCTGGGGAGAAAACAGGGAAGAAGCTATCTCGTAAGGTTTTTTTTTTTCCTGCCTGCTTTTTCTGTTGTGGACAGATCATTGTGAACAGTGAAATCACCCGCACTTCTACCCTTGGCATCCTTAACCGCCACCAATATCTGACCCACATGTTAGCATGGTTTTGCCTTAAAGCAGCGGTGTCAAAGCCCTGCAGCTGTTGCAGAACTACAAATCCCATGAGGCATTGCAGGGCTGACAGTTAAAAGCATGACTCCCAAAGGCAGAGGCATGATGGGACTTGTAGTTTCTCAACAGCTGGGGGGCTGCAGTTTGACACCTGTGCCTTAAAGTGTCACTTAACCCACAACTCTGCATTCACTATATATGGTCATCCACCATATACAGAACATGGAAGTGCAATTATTTTAGTAAATATAAGCAGTATATAGCAGTCTTGTGACTTTTATCAGTGTCCAGCTGAGCACTGTTTAATCGTGTAGGAGTATTTATTCTCCTCTGACTGTCCTATGAGGCTGCATGACCCTTGACCCTCTGTCTGGACAGTACTGATTGGCCCTGAGGTGATCACATGCACTCTCCCCCCCCCAAAAAAAAACTCTAGCACTACACACCAAACTGAGCATGTGCATAGTGTCTTCTGTACTGTACTGTACTATCAGCAGATGGATTGGGGACAGTAAAAGAAGTGACGGATCAGAGAAGACAGGATCAAACAGCCTTTTTACACAATGCAGAGATTTAACCCTCTAGGTTCCACAAGGAGTATAACAAGCATGCTTTGCTGCAAATACAAGACTGATTTTTCTGTTGTGGGTTTAGTAACACTCTAACCTCCTCTACTTTTGACAAGATGGAGACAAGAAAGAAATTCTTCCTATTTCAAACCTTTAGTAAGCAGTTTATCTATTGCGTGTCAGTATTGTGACAAGAATAGAAAAGGCCATACACATAGATTTTTTTTTTTGCATTTAGTCTGCAAGTTGAATGGAAAAAAAATCTAACTGATTCTACAATATAGGCTTGGATGCAGCTGCTTTTGGGACAACAATTTTCTGCCCAACTCCATTGATTTTTCTTCTTTCCAAACATGGGGTCAAGCCCATATATACTGTACATTACAATAAAGTTTTACACGTAGACATTGTACCCTTGTACTTTATCGTCCACTTTGTGCTAAATACAATCAGAACAGGTAGCAACAATACGTTTGCAGCAAAAACAGAAAGTATAACTGCTATTGATCAACTAAGTATATGGATAACGTTTGCCACCATGAGGGGGAGAGAGTTAATTTGAGAAAAGGCGAGAGAAAGAAGAGTCCCAAAGAAGGGCAAGAAGGAGAGGAGGGAGAAAATAGAGGAATTGGTACCTGACTGGGCAACACAATTGTACAAACTCCATATCATTGTTACATAGTTAGTCTGGCTGAAAAAAGACAAAATTCAACCATAAAAAAAAACCAAAAAGACAAGTTATAATCCTATAACCTTAGATTGTACACCCCTTGAGGGTTAGGGACTGATGTGAATTTACAATATATATGTAAAGCGCTGCGTAAATTGACAGCGCTATATAAGTACCTGAAATAAATAAATAAATAAATAAATAAATATACCCACAGTTGATCCAGAGAACGGCAAAAAAAAAAACAGCAAAGCATGATGCAATTTGCTCCTGCAGGGGAAAAACTTCCTTCCTGATCCCCCAAGAGGCAATTGGATATTCCCTGGATCAACTTTACCTATAATTGTTAGTATCCAGTTATATTCTGTGTATCTAAGAAAGAATCCAGGCCTTTTTTTAAAGCAATCCACTGAGCTGGCGAGACTTGAGGAAGTCTATTCCACATTTTCACAGCTCTCACTTTGAGGAAACCTTTCCGTGTTTGGAGATTACATTTCTTTTCCTCCAGACGTAAAGAGTGCCCCCTTGCCCTCTGTGATGACCTCAGGGTGAATAGCTCTACACTGAGTTCACCATATGAACCACTGATGTATTTATACACGTTGATCATATCCCCCATTTTAATCACCTCTTCTCAAAAGAAAATTAATTCAATTCCTTTAACCTCTCTTCACAGCTGAGCTCCTCCATGCCTCTTATCAGTTTGGTTGCCCTTCTCTGCACTTTCTCCAGTTCCCCAATGTTCTTTTTGTGAATTGGTACCCAAAATTGAACTGCATATTCCAGATGTGGTTTTACTAATGATTTGTACAAGGGTACATTTTTTTATTGATTTTTCCAAGCCCGTAGACTTTACCTTACACATTAGCCGTGTGTGGGGAACTGTATCAAAAGCTTTTGCAAAATCCAAGTATACCACGTCCACAGCCACCCCTCTGTCCATAGTTTTGCTTACCTCCTCATAAAAAGAAATCATATTTGTTTGACAACTTCTGTCTTTCATGAATCCATGCTGTCTGTTGCTTAAAATATTTTTTTTCCAGCAGAACTCACCTATGTGGTCTTTTATTAAACTCTCCAGTATCTTCCCAACTATAGAAGTTAAACTAACAAATCTTGAATTACTTGGTAGAGATTTTGATCCTTTTTAAATATTGGCACCACATTGGCCTTACACCTATCCAGTGGTACTAAGCCAGTCATTAAAGAGTCCCTAAAAATTAGAAACAATGGCTTTGTAATGACAGAGCTCAATTCTTTAAGGACCTGTGGGTGTATGCCATCCAGTCCAGGTGCTTTATTCACCTTTATTCTGTCTAAATATTTCTGGACCATATCAATTGTGAGCCAATGTGGATCATCTGGGCTGTGTCAATACCATGCCCATTATGGACAAGAGCTCCCCCTTGATCCTTTGTATACACAGAGCTGAAGAAGGTATTTAATAAATGTGCCTTCTCTTTGTCCCCAGTCACCCACTCTAGAATATTTTGTAAAGGGCCTACATGCTTGGACCGAACCTTTTTACTATTAATATATTTGAAGAATTTTTGGGGGTTTGTCCTGCTATCTTTTGCAATCTGTCATTCATTTTCAATTTTTGCAGCCTTAATTTCCTTTTTGCATATTCTGTTATATTCTTTGTAATGTTTAAATGATGATAGCGTTTCTTCTTTTTTATAGTTAATAAAAGCTCTTTTCTTATTATTTGTAGCTTTTTTTAAGTTTGGCCATAAGCTACATAGGTTTGGTTTTTAACCTTTTATACTTGGTGCCCATGGGGATATATTTTGCAGTGTGTTCACATACAGTATTTTTGTAGAACTCCCATTTCTGTGTTGTGTTCTTCAATAATATTCCCTCCCAGTCTAAGGCTTGGAGAGCAGCTCTCAGCCTTGGAAATTAGCTCTCTTAAAGTTGAGCATTTTTATTTTCCTCTTATGTGCTTGTTGTTCACAGCTAACAATGAATTAAATCATGTTATGGTCACTGCTACCCAGATGTTCTTTTATTTGGAGAATAACCTTTGCATGGTTTGAGATTACCAGGTCCAGTAAAGCATTATATCACATCAGAAAGAGAGCAATGACCTCCTTCAATTTTTCAGTCAAAGGATGTTGGACAGGAGAGGGCTTGAAGGGTCACCCACTAAGCAAATTTTACCAGCTCATCAGTAATCAGCCATAGTTCATACAGTGTATACCTGGCTTTATGCTGATCAGTGTAGCAAGTAACAGATTACAGGACAGATGATTGAGTGAGGCTGTTGGAATTGTTGATCATTCTAAGCAGGGACTTTGTTTCACAATTATTAAGTCTTTGTGCCACTGCCACTCCTGCTCACCTGCAGTGCATTGTGGGTTTTGCCAGTCGTAGCGCACCATTGCAGCAATGAGACATATCACAACCTGTTTTTCAAGTCAAATTAAATATTTGTTTAAAAAAAGTCAACAGCTGGTTGTAGGAGAGCAGTGTCTTACCATAGACACAAAAAAGGTGGGACTGAGAATTCAGAGCCAGAGCCAAAATGCTTGTCACCTTGATGTGCTTTTTTTTCTACTTGCTCCTGCTTTTTGATAGTTCTAGTTTTTTCACAGTTTAGTTCCTGATGCATTGCAAGTAGTAGTAGTTTGCAGTGCATTATTTGTTCTATACCACATCTTAATTCAATCGATTAAAGCCTACTTTTATACCTGTAATTGATTTATCTTCTTAAAGCTGCCTATAATGTTTTCACTGAGCACTTGGGATGCATTTTATACACATTAACTATCTCACATATCCCCGACTGAATAGTCCTGTTTCTTGGGTTTTTGGAGTGATGGGTTTTAGTGAAAATAGTAGTGATGCCTCAAAAGTAAAGGTCCTTAATGTAACCTTATTTGGTAAAAAAAAAAATTGTGTTGGAGCCTTGTCAGTTAAAGTAAAGAATACAACTTACAGCTGAGGCTCGATTCAAACCGCCCTTGTGTGAATGGGTCCTTAAGCAGGCCATACATGGGTCGAATTCCGAACAATTTTTCGATAGAAAATCGAAAACATCGTTTGTTCTGTAATTCGCTGATGCCACCAATGATTTTGAAAATCGGTTGTTTTTCACGAATTTTCCAGCATGCACGATAAACGAAATGGGGAGGAACCACGAAAATCGTCCGGTGCCATTGTCCCACTAACAGAGCAAAAATTGGCTGATATTCTTGGGTCCAATTTTTGAACGAAAAATCATTTGAAAATAAACCCATGTATGGCTGGCCTTAGTCTTGTGTTATCACACCCTGGAATTTTCTGTGATTGCAAATTCTTCTGGGTGTCTGTGATTTTGCTTTATTATATGGAAGAAAACTGGATGTCTAGGAATCACAAGTAGCCATGCCTGTTCACTTCTTAAGGGCTCTGAAAATACACAGACTCTTACTCTTCTATTTTATTGTTTTATTTTGCAGTAATATGGTTGTTGCTCTTAAAGAATTGTCTATTCGTGGAGATTTCGAACAACTGTGGAATACTTGATAAAGCTTCTGGAGACTGAAAGTTTCCAGCAAAACAGCATAGACACTGGCTGGCTGGACAGGCTGATATCAGAAAAAGTGCAGGTAATTATGGGAGAACTATGGCACTAAGGTCTGAAAAGCAATTTAATATGGGGAAATCTGAGGAAAATAATTCCCTTCCCAGTGAACTATACCTAATACTTTGCTAGATTATTGGCATACATTGCAGGTTTTTGCCTTTCTCTGTTCTGAACAAATTGGGATTTGTATCACCATGTCCTTTGTCAAAATGAGTTTGTTCACACCATGTCTGCAATGCTACATAGAACACAATTGTTTTCTATGTGCCCTTTTCACACTGTGCTGAGGTGTGTTGCATAAAAATACTGCATGTCTGCATTTGTACACAATGCGGGGCACCTGCACCTTACAGCATGATGCTGCCCTGCATGATATGAAGAGTTGAAAGAAGTGTAAATTTATGAAATTTCAATGAACTAAAACAGCTTTCTCAACCAGGGTGCCTGGAGGTTTCTTCAGGGGTGCCTTGGCAAAATGTCTAAAAATTGCCCAAAACTTGTATACAAGCCAGCGGGTGGAACATGCCTGCCTTTTAGTTTACACAAAGCCACAGGTCTTCATTGTGCGCCATTACGACCTTCTAGCTGCCAGCATCCTGACAACCAATAACATCACCAGTTGCTAAGGAGGATGTCAGCTGCCTGCACAGCAACCTAGTTTGACCCTCCCCTGCCCCTTTCCATCAGTGCTGGGGTCACATTAGCTGAGTGATGGATAATAACTGAGAGAGAAAAAAAACATAGGAATACTAGTCAGTACCAGTGTGCAAAAGTGTATTTGCTTTGGAAGAATAAATCACCTCTAATGTTGAATGTCCTACATGTGTGGTTGTTGCTGCATTATATAAACCTATTAGAATAGGTTTTCACATTTTAGAATGGGGTGCCTCGGGGCTGTCCATAATTTTTAAAGGGTGCCTTGACTGAGAAAAGGTTGAGAACCACTGAACTAAAAAAAACAAAAAAACAAAACAGGCAAACCATACAGTGGGATGTAACAACACATCACACTGCTCCTTAACAATGTGAACCAGCGGGCATGCTTTATACAACATATAATGTATACAGACTGGTGTGAACAAGCCCTTAATTTGTATTGGTTATAAGAAATACATTCTCCTACTATCTTTGGGAAGGGGAATGAGGTTACTGCAGGGGATGTCTCTTAATATGACTTCCAAGTCTGTGTAGACTTTGGGGAAAAGCAGTGAGCCAATCAGTTACATTTTATGTGTCATTTACGTATAACTCCAAGATTACTGTGCCATCATTATCCTTCCAAGGCCCAATAAAGTGTAAATTCTGTGAACCTGTCTTAATAACTCAAATGTATGACCTATATGTGGCTTATTGTTGCTCCTGTTATGTTACTGTAAGTTTATTAACTTAATAAATATAACATAATTCATTTGCTGCAAAAGGAAATCTGTATTTTTCAAAGAAAGTGACTAGGGAAGAAGTAATGAAAAAAAATATATTCAGTACATCTCCGCAATGCCTGCACATTTAAGAGCTTACTGGATTTCTGGCAGGATCAACATGTGTTTTCTGTACTGGCAGTGTTTTTAAAAATGTAGAACATGGAGATGTGCTTGTGTTGAAGAGACATAGTGAATACTTTTGTCTTGATTCTTCCCGTGCACTTTAATTGAAGGTATCCATACCAGAGATATTTAGTTGGGTTGAGAAGGGCCTCTTAAACCTCTTTCGGGTAAATACTGTTTTTATTGTGCAATAATGCCTCCTAATCCTGATTTGTATTCCATAAAATGGCAAAAGGTTTATTTTGCACTGTAAAAGTAAATGGTTGCGATGGAGAAAAATATACTGCCTGAATTATTTTCCCGGACATTTCTTGGGGTTTCAGTGTGTTTATAGAAGATCCTCCTTTTGGATTTTGATGCTACTATCAAATCGGGAAACCGACATAAAAGAATTGTACTGTATTTCTAAAAGTATATTCAGCATTACTAAATACATGCATATAAGTAATACATTTAAACTATTGCTTGTAGATTTAAACTTGAATTTCTAATGTCACAGGCTGAGCGCCCAGACACTATGCTGGGAGTTGTATGTGGAGCACTACACGTGGCCGACATGAGTCTCAGGAACAGTGTCTCAAATTTCTTACATTCATTGGAAAGGTAGGTGTTGAAGTGGAGCTTTTTAAAATCTTTACAAGTCCTCATGATAAAATTCCTGATATTACAATATACAGAAACAGTATTACATTTCAGCAAAGCCCCACCTGTTATCATTAAAAAACGTTCTTGAATTCCATTCAGTGACTTTGCTTAGGCTGACATGATGTCATCAATATGTTGCAGGCAAGAAGAAGCATTTCCTCAGTGGTCTTTCCCCTGAAATCTGGAATACTGTGATACACATACAAGATTATTATTCACTTTCTAGCTAGGATTACCAGAAGACTCAAAGCAATAAATCTGCTCACAGATGGGTTGGGGGAGGAGGGGGGGTGCAAAGGAGATACGTGATTAGCAAACAGCATGATCCTTTGCATATGTCCTCAGCTCTTCTGGAGTAGAGACATCAGACAACCTTCCCAATGGAGCTCCCTTCCCACCATCAGGCCGCATAGCAGCCATGTGAACTGCTACGGCTAACATTTGCCATTGGCCGCTGCAGGGGCTGATCTGTGAAGACATTTGTGAACACAGGTATCAGGATATACATAATTGTGTCATTTGTGTTGGCATCTCAGTCTAGCAAGCTGATTGTGACCCTGTATAATGTCTAAACAAAAATAGTGCCATTCTTCTAGAGAACAAAGCAGAGAGTATTTTGCTGACACATTAACATTCTGCACTTGCCATTAAAAATAAAATCTGATGACCGGTCCATGGCAAGTTTAACCACTTGCCCATTGGGCACTTATACCCCCTTCCTGCCCCAGACAATTTTCAGCTTTTAGTGTTGTCGCATTTTTAATGACAATTGTGCGGTCATGCAAACTCTGAACCCATATGAAATTGTTATCATTTTTTTCACACAAATAGAGCTTTCTTTTGGTAGTATTTAATCACAAATGGGTATTTTATTTTTTGCACTATAAACAACAAAAAGAGCAAAACATTTGGAAAAAAAAAAGGTTTTCTTTGTTTCTATTATAAAATTTTGCAAACAGGTAATTTTTCTCCTTCACTGATGTGCGTTGATGAGGCTGCACTGATAGGCAGCACTGATGGGCACTGATGAGGTGGCATGGATAGGCAGCACTGATGGGCACGGATAGGCTGCACTGATGTGGTGACACTGATGAGGCAGCACTGGTGGGCATTGCTGAGGAGGCACTGATGATGCTGCACTAATATGCAGCAATGGTGGTCACTGATAGGCGGCGCTGACTGGCGGCGACTGACTGGCGGTACTGACTGTTGGCACTGATGGGCGCAAACTGCTGGGCAGCACTGATGAGGTGGCACAGATAGGCAGCACTGATGGGCATGGATAGACTGCACTGATGAGGTGGCACTGATGAGGCAGCACTGGTGGGCATTGATGAGGAGGCACTGATGATGCTGCACTAATATGCAGCAATGATGGTCACTGATAGGCGGCGCTGACTGGCGGCGCTGACTGGCGGTACTGACTGTTGGCACTGACAGACGCAACTGCTGGGCAGCATTGATGGGGGGCACTGCATGGGCACTGGTGGATGGCACTGCTGGACACTGATGGATGGCACTGCTGGGCACTGATCATCAGGGCACTGATCATCAGTGCCCTGATGATCAGTGCCGATCTCCTCTGTGATAGCTGCCAGTTATTGTTAGTACTTTGCTCACGCTGTTACAGCATGAGGAAAGTGCTGCTGATAACCGGCAACTGTATTTACTCCGTGATCTGCTGTGTCCAAAGGATACAGTGATCACGGAGATTGCTGGGTGCGCGCCCCTGGGGGCACGTGGGAGGGGACGTTCTGGAAGGACGTCATATGTTGCCCTCCCAGAACTGGGTAACCGCGCTGTAGCCATCATTTGGCAATAGCGCAGTTACCAAGTGGTTTAAGGTTTAAAATAAAGACTTTTTTTTTTTTCAGTTTTTGGACAGAGTGGAGAGGGATTAGAACACCTATTAGGTTTTTATTGCTTTCTGTGCCCATGTTAGGGAGATTCACCCTCTCCATTTGTCCTGTTTACCATTATCATTGAAAGTGAAATAAAAGAAAATCCCTAATTTTGGGCTGTCCCCATAAAATTAATAGAGGTGAAATTTTCTAATGGGGACACTTGTTCTATTGATCTGGGTATCCCCAAGAAACTCCCTTAATTTGCAGGGATTTCCCTGCATTTCCTGTTTTGGCTTTTGGACAGGAAGTGGAGGTAAATCTCCCCAGTGGGACACCTACAACAAAAAATAAACTGACAGTGGTTATAATCCTCCATTACTGAATCCAAAATGGAAAAAAAATGTTTTGCCTATATTCCTACTTTAATATAGTACTACAACATAAAGGATTTCTTTTATGGTTTCCTGCAAAATTGTACTGCACTTGCTATGCTGTGTAGCATGAATAATGTTACGGGTGAATTTTTCCACACTCTGAGGAGAGTAACCATGTGAACCAGACAAAAAGAAATGCCTGATCAAATCAAAAATATGAATATCTATAATTAATATACCAGTGATTTCAGTAGGAGAATAAAATGATTTAAAGATGAATGTAGCAGTGTTGTTTTGCTTCAGGCTTGTATGCTGGCGATATACTATGTTGGAATAGATCTAAACAATTACATTTGAGTGTTGTGTAGCAGTTCGTTGTGATATGTTTTAGAAGTACATCAGCATTAAAATACTTTTAAACATACAAATGTTTTCACCGTGGACTAGTTTAGTATATTAGAATGAATACAATATTTTCTGAAATACTTTTATAAATATGCTGCTGCACAGCAATGCTCCTTTAAACATACAACAAAGGTGTTATTTTCAGCTAAAGAAAACAAAGGCAATAAAAACAACCTATGAAGTGTTTGCTTTTATCTTCAAACCAGCTCTAGAAGATAAGTGAGCAGTACTTTGGTTGCTAACAGATTTCAAATCAGCTTCAGCTTGTATTGCCTTTTTCACTCGCTATGTTTGTAGATTTAATCCAGTTTTTCCCATTGCTTAATTTATTGCGGAGTTTCCACTTCTGTTTACTTTTAATTACTTTTTTTTTTTTTTTAGGGGGCAAGTGTTACCAGCACACACGTTGTTAAATACAGTAGATGTAGAACTCATCTATGAGGGGGAGAAATATGTGCTTAAGGTAAATTTGTTTTATTGTTTGAGTATTTACGGATTTCACTACTTCTTTGTTAAGAGTCCATGAACATTGTATTTATATGTACAGTATATGTCCTGTAAATTTAAAGTAGTAGTAAATGCTCAAGAAAAAAAAAAAACAATCCAGGCCCCCTGCAAGGTAAAGGCATTGCATACTAGCACAATATGAAAGACTTACCTTACAACGAAGCCCTCCAGCAGCACAATGTCACCACTGGCAGGGGTTCCATCTTTACTTGGTCTTTCTTCGGGGTTCGTGGGCTCTGGTCATTGGAAAGGCTGAGCCGTGATCACCTCAATCCCCACATATGCACACGGGAGACACAACTGCGTCACAGGGTCCCTAAACATGCTGTCCCTTCAGAGTGCAGTGTGAATGCTGCAAAATGTGAATATTTCCTAAATTATTATTATAATACGGGGTTTATATAGCACCAACAGTGGTGCACGCTTAGGATATATTCATTTTACCTACATGAAAGCTTTTATTATAAGCTTACCTGTAGGTAAAAGTTGCAAAGCGGAGTTTACTAGCACTTTAATAAAGTCATTGGCCTGTTCTTGTTGGGACAGTTAAATCTTGTATTGGTTAATATGATACTTCAGGCTAGCAGTACTAGGGTTATTGGTTCGAATCCCAGCCACGGAACCACCTGCCTGGAGTTTGCATGTTCTGCGTGGGTTTCCTCTGGGTACTCCGGTTTCCTCCCACACTCCAAAGACATGCTGGTAGGTTAATTGGATCCAGTCTAAATTGGCCCTAGTATATGTATGTATGAATGTAAGTTAGGGATCTTAGATAACCCCTTGAGGGTTAGGGACTGATGTGAATGTACAATGTATATGTAAAGCTCTGCATAAATTGATGGCGCTATATAAGTACCTGAAATAAATAAATAAAAAGAAAATTTGTGAATAAAAACAGTCTTTATTGTTTCTGGAAGTAACTAGTACTAGCAGAACCGTAATGCTGTTGGAAACGGTGTAATTTTTTCTCTGTCACTTATTGGGGGACGCAAGAACTCCTATACTGTCAGGTTGTACTGCTGCCTACAGGAAAACTGGAGACTAACAACAAAAAAGCATTAGTCAGCACAAAATATCCCCACCCACAACCATCATGCCTAATGTGCGTGTTCTCTTTAACTGTTCTCTGTTTGGAAGATTTTTATGCTATTAACAGCTGCTGGTAGATTCATGCTGGATATGTTAAATCCTGCAAGTCTCCCCAGTCATCCCTCAAAATACCGGTTTCCTCGTTTTTACTGCTGTTCAATCCGTGATAGCCCCCCAATTTCTGGAAATTGCTGCAGGCATCTGCAGATGCCAGTAGATTTAGGCCGGATGGGGAAATCTTGGAAATTTCTCTTTGCGACAGTCTTGTGGTTGATAGTGACTATGGGGTTTATTTACTAAAGCTGGAGAGTCCAAAATCAGACTCCCTTCTGCATAGAAACCAATCAACTTCTAACCTCAGCTTGTTCAATGAAGCTTTGGCAATGAAACCTGGAAGCTGATTGGTTTCTATGCAGAAGGGAGCCTGATTTTGGACTCTCCAGCTTTAGTAAATAAACCCCTATGTGTCTGTGTACCAGTTGACACATGACTGTTCTGGTCAAACTAGGCAATATTATCTTGGGATTCCTTGTGGAGTTATCAGTCCAGAGTTTTTCTATCCCTGTCTCTGCAACTCACTCAGGCTTATGCTAGGTTGAGGCTGCACTGCTATAAGGTTATTATATTATTATAAGTAATATTAAAGGTTTTATTTATAAAAAAAAAGCGGTAATGCTTACCGGTTCTGTGCAACAATATTGCACAGAGCAGTCTCTTACCTTCTCTTTGACCGTTCCCTGCCTGTGCTGTCTGCTCCTTCTTTCTCCAGGTACCTCCTTAGCGAGTCATGTGCTCTGGGGGCACCCATGCGCATGCACTCCAGAGCCAGGCTGTGTCTGACCATATGCACAGTACTATAGTAAGCCATGCCCTGCTTCCTCCTGCTAGACCAGGAAGTTGGCGGAGTGGTGCCGTAAATGGGACCGGAGTCCTGGAGCTGGGAAAGTGCTCGATGATGGAGGGGGTAGGAAAGATAGTAGGGAGTTTTTTCATTCTTCAAGCAAAGAGCGCATGAAAATAAAAAAAATAGACTTTTTGCGTATATGGTATTTTCTACAGTAGCAACTATTGTGTTTTGAGTATTTTTTTTTTTTTTTTTTGGTGCTTCGGCCACACAAGCTAAATGTTAATACTTACTTCCTCTCTAGCTGAATTTAATAATTCAGCTCTAAAATGCGGGGAGAGCACAGGCGCACATGCATATATGGACTCACAGTTGTCCTCTCTCCTGTATCACAATGAGGGTGGAGTTATCGTACTGCCTGCCGCTTCAGACAACACAGGTGGAAATGATGGCAGGAGACTGTAGTCTAAGATGTTTTTGGCCCTCCTGTTCACCCCAACTTGGGTGGTACTGGGCCCCTCACAAGTGTTTAGCTGCTAGCTGATCTGGGTGGCTTCGTCTAAAAGTTGTATTATTTTGCTATGGGAGAAAAACTTGTTGATTTCATCACACATATTGCGTTCCTACAGACTGCTGTCAAGGAGTTGGTGGTGTCACTGTTTTAAGGAGCCATGGACAAGCTGCACAGAGGGCTAATGCTTCTTGTTAGCGCAGAACTACATACTTAGACCATGGCCAGTTAGGTGCCTGTGGTGTTTAATGATTGAACTGGATGGACTTTTGCCTTTTTTCAACCAGACTATGTAACTCTAAAGCCTTCTCATACTGATGTTCAGGTGCTTCCTTGGTTGTCATATGTTAAATTGTTCACAAGCAGCAGCACCTTCTCAAAAACAGTTAATTATAATATTTTCACCACAATGCTTCACCCTGCCCAGGGCTGCTGACCGGGCCCAATACAGTCTACTTGACATACCCCCCCCCCCCCCCCGAACATATCAAAACTATATTTTCACAAAAAATAAACTAAAATCATTATTAGCGGACACAAACATAACATAAATTATGAAAGTCATGCTTAAATGTAAAAGATAAACCTGTATTGAGTCAATAAAAGGAGGTCTTGGGACTCATTCACATAAGTGCTGTGGCCTGTACGGTGTGAATCTGTGTTTTTGTTTTTTTTTATGTGGCTATTGCTTTGTGCAGGCAGCCTATGTTATGCTATGGGGGTGGAACAGCTGTATGAACACAGCCTAAAGTCCTCATTTGGCAGGCATGTGGATGCAGATATATAAAATAATTAAATAAAAGCGAGCGCTATCCGGAAATCTGAAAGCAGCTAGAACACCAAAAGGTAACCAAGAGAAAACCTTCAAATAAAATACATAAACATATATATATAAAGACCATATATAAGGTGCAGCGCTATAATAACATATAAAACACAAAAGTGCCAATATCAAATCACACTGCGGTGAAGTTAGATGAGATGAATAATAGTCTTGAAATAAATCAGGAGTGGGGATCCAAACGATCCTAATAGGTGCGTGGGATAAGATTCTGTGCAGCACACGGTGACTCTGAGGTAAGAATTACGCACTCACCAGAAGTGCGTCAAAAAAAAGCATGTGGGTTTTATCCTGTAATATCAGAAAACGATCATCCGTTGCCAAGATAGAGATAGAATCCTACACCTTCCAGATCGTCCCTTGGGTATGTGCTTCAAATTTCATAAGCGCATCTCAGGCATATCACCATCCGGGGTCCCCTTTTAAGGCAGATTCTGCAAGTGGGGACTCTCATAGAAGAGAGCCCAATAAGGGACACCACATAGTGTAATACCGTATGAGCTAGGTTTATTGAAGATGCAGCATGAAAATGAATACAAAGCAGTAAAATAGAATAGAACACTGACCAGATACTGTAAAGGATGACCACCGGCGGTGGTCAGACGTCCAGATAATGCAGCCCCTCTGACGCGTTTCGTGCAGTGCACGTTATCAAAGGGTCCTGGGCTGGACCCTTTGATAACGTGCACTGCACGAAACGCGTCAGGGGGGTGCATTATCTGGACGTCTGACCACCGCCGGTGGTCATCCTTTACAGTATCTGGTCAGTGTTCTATTCTATTTTACTGCTTTGTATTCATTTTCATGCTGCATCTTCAATAAACCTAGCTCATACGGTATTACACTATGTGGTGTCCCTTATTGGGCTCTCTTCTATGAGAGTCCCCACTTGCAGAATCTGCCTTAAAAGGGGACCCCGGATGGTGATATGCCTGAGATGCGCTTATGAAATTTGAAGCACATACCCAAGGGACGATCTGGAAGGTGTAGGATTCTATCTCTATCTTGGCAACGGATGATCGTTTTTCTGATATTACAGGATAAAACCCACATTTTTTTTTTTTTGACGCACTTCTGGTGAGTGCGTAATTCTTACCTCAGAGTCACCGTGTGCTGCACAGAATCTTATCCCACGCACCTATTAGGATCGTTTGGATCCCCACTCCTGATTTATTTCAAGACTATTATTCATCTCATCTAACTTCACCGCAGTGTGATTTGATATTGGCACTTTTGTGTTTTATATGTTATTTATAGCGCTGCACCTTATATATGGTCTTTTATATATATATGGTTATGTATGTGGATGCAGATGTATGGTCCCCGAACATTGACAGTGTGCATTCGGGGTCATTCACCCACACCTGTACACCTATCAAATTAGGACCCGCAGCTGTGTTCATACAGCCGCTGCATCCTCATAGAGTAGCAGATGGCTCCCACTGCACAAACAAACCACTCATTCACACAGTATGCGCCATAGAACCCATTTGAATAAGCCCTTAATTTTTAAATGTTTTTTTTGTAAGACTATTTTTACAAATGTTACACTTTTTTTTACATTATTTGTTTCATTTTTTAAAAATGATTTTTTTACAATTGTTATTTTTTACATTTAAAAAAAAAATTAATTTTTTGCATTTTTTTTCAATGCTGTGGGGTCTAAAAAGATCCCTGTCATCTCACCTTTAAAACCGAGAAAAGAATTGAGGACACAGATTCTTCAATTCCTTTCTCTGCAGCCTCAGCTACACAGAAATTGAATGAACAGGAGACAGAGACTCCTGTTCATTCATAAACTAAAGCATAGTAAACACAGGACACCTGTGGACACAGGAGTGATCAATAGCAATCACACACTTTGCCCTTTCAAAAAAGGAAGGAGCCAGTAAATGACATATTTACTGGCTTCCTCTGCTTGCCATCCTAACAGTGACACATCCCCTGTACCCACAGCACTGGTGGGAGAGGAGAGCTGGTAGTACTGCGGGAATAGGGGGGGTCAGCACAGTGAAAGGGGGGCACACGGGGGAATCGGAAGTGGGCACAACAAGAAGAGGGATCGGTGGGGGGTGCAATTACAGAACAATGCCCTGTGTCTGTGTCTCCCTGCAACAGCTGAAAGCTGGTGTCAGAAAAAGAAACTGACTTTCAGCTACTTCAGAGAGCTGCACCGGGCATCCTTCTGTAATTGCTTCTCCTGCCCGCCGCACCAATTCCCTCTGCTGTCAAGGTCCCCATGTGTGCCCAGGCCCCCTACAAGAGGAATGGTGGTTCTCTCCTAATAGCAACCCTGACCCTGTCATATCTAAGCGGTCAGTGCAGTTCCTTTCTTGCTTTTCTGTCTTCTATCTTTTGGAGGGCACAGTACTGACCAGAGCACCTCTTATAGGCCTCTTCATTGCGTTTTGGTATTTGGATTTTTTACTCCAAAGCCTTTTTTTTGTTTGGCCTTGGCTACTTTCTCTGGCATGCAAAGTGGGTCACTCTACATATGCAATAACTTGCAGGACCCGGTTCCACTTGTGTGAAGGACTGAGGCAGGTTGGTTGTGGTTGTGGACATTGTTATCCTGTTCTGTTTTTTTCGTTTGCCAGTGTCCATTTCTCTTGTCGGTGTGAGTATATCCCCTCAGTCCCTCAGCGGCCTCCAAGTAGAGGATTTTGAAGTGCATACAAAAATCTTATTTTCTCTCCTTTCTTTACTCACCTATGTACATAATATACAGTATATCTCCACTGTACTAATTCAAAGGTATTCTATTAGGGATAAGCAGTATAGACCAGCATTTCTCAACCTTTTCTCAGTCATGACACCATTTAAAACTGTATGAAATCCCAAGGCACCCCAGTCTAAAATGTAAAAAAAAACCCTAAATTTTACTTATCAGTGGGAAACGTGAACCTGGGACAATGCACACAACTGCTTTGATGAAATTACCTTCACAGCCAAATCCCCCCTTCACATCAGTTTTCCCCATCACATCAGTCCAGTTGCACTATTCCCAACGCACACGTTCCTGAAGATTGCTGTTCAGTATTGATGAATGCTGCAGTGACCACAGGCTGGGACCCATAGACACTCAATGCAAAGAAATATCACCAGCACTCCAGAGATTCCAAACAAGTCCAAAGCTATATTTCCTGATCACATGGTACAAAGCCAACAATTTTGAAGCCACACAAGACCTCTTCTCCAGGCATGACGAGGGGGCCCTGCATAGCTCCGAAAAAATTGCCTTTGTATAAACAATGTGACCATAAAATAAAGCTTTGGACCTCTTTGAGGAATCTCTGGTGTGCTGATTACATTTTTCTTCCCATCACATCAGTGGCACCCCTTCATGTCAGAGACCCGATCACATCAGAGGCCCCCTATAAATGACAGCCCCTCCAATCCTGGGCAAACTGGGTCCCATGCTCACAGCAATCCAGGGTGCCCCAGTACCCTAGTAGAGAAACGCTGGAGTAAACAGTAGCAGAGTGCAGTTTCACCTCTAATTTGCTTGCAGCATATTTTGTAAATTCTTCTCCACTCCAGTTCGAAAGTATGGCTTGTTTTAAAGAGAAAACCATGCAGATGTAAAGGTAAAGGTTAAAAAAAACAAAACAAAACAAAAAAAACAATGGACCACCTTGTTTTTTTTTGCTTTCACTCTGTTTCTGTTGTGTGATGCTGCTGGTTCAAAAACTAAGATATTTTAATCACATTTGCAGATCGTTTTTATATAGTTAATATATTATATGTAATGAATGGACATAACCAATACTCATAATATTGTTTTATGATAAATTTAGGTTACACGTCAGTCTCCAAATTCTTACGTAGTGATAATGAACCACTCGTATGTAGAAGTGGATGTGCACAGGTTGAGCGACGGAGGCCTGCTTTTGTCATATGATGGCAGCAGCTACACTACATATATTAAAGAAGAAATTGATAGGTAACCCTCATACCCCTGTTTTGTATGCCTGTTTGTATTTGTTAACAATAATTTCCAGTGTTTTTTCTGTGTAAAAAGATCACGAGAAAAAGGAATAGAAGCTTTAATGTTTTTTTTTTTAATTTGCAAAAGATGCCCTTGAATATGGGATGATCAGCCTCTGTTCTATAAATAAAAACTGTTTGCTTCAAACGGGGAATGCTCTATAAAGGGGTGTATATCACAACCCAAGAAAAAAAAATGACAAATACAATGAATAGGAGTAGAATTGTCCCATAGTTGCATATCACAGTTCTTATTATATAAAGGATATACAGACCCTCCTGTGGAGTGTAAGGCCCAATGTCAAGACTTTATAATCAAAATGTGGACTCAGCACTCTGTATATTTCCAAATTATCAGTTGCTTCCTTCCCTTCCAAATAGCAATCAGAGAGTGGTCATATATGTGACTGAAAAATTGAGTCCCAGAGTCTACTCTTTATGTATTCGGCCTTCCAAAGGTGAATAACACAAATGTTGTGGTCCAGAGGAGGTGATTGGGGTCACAACTGGATGGTTAAGTGGACCCTTCCTGGCTGGTGTTTGCTGCCTTCCTCTCACAGACCTCCATGTGTTATAAATTATATTCTCAATGTATCAACTTAATACTGTGGTCAGAGGAGGTCATAGAAGCATGTAAACAGCATTTCGAAAGTATAAATTTCCTCCCTCTCACAGATTCCATACAAACACCTTGAAAGTTCATCCAAATATGGAACAGATTTCCATCACACATGAAAGTATTGGCTCTATCTTTTGTAATCCATGAATATAGCCATCTTTAGGGACCTCATCGCCATCAGGCAGGTTCATTTAATAATAATCTGTTATGATGTGCACAGAGTCCCATTAGTGGGGGGTAATACAGAAAATGGAAGACCATTCAAACACTTAATATAACATCATATGATCATAACCAAATCCCACAGTGGTAAGGGTATCAACTGGTATGATAGATAATGGCAAACCAGGGCTGGTTCAGCTCTTGAAAGAGTGTCACATCAATTCAGTCATTCCCCTATATTATACTTATCAATCAGGCCATAATAATTCTTTGCTGGTATCTAGTAGACAAGCAATAGTGAAGCTGGTGGCAGTAAAATATGCCTGACCGGTTTCGCCAGGTTAAACTGGCTGCATCAAAGGCACTGGTCCTTTTCAACTAATGGGTATTTCTCTTACTAGAGCAGGCTAGGGTACAAGCTTGCATAGGCTTAGTTTCTTGGTTGACATAGATACACGCATACATATACACACATCCTTTAAAAAGTGTAGATGTGGATGGGGACTTAAAGGATGTCCATCTCAGAATAATATGCTGTGTATTTTTTTCTCATTCAATGTTTTGTTAAATTTTCAAATGTTAGGTTTCAAAAGGGGGTTACAATGCTTGTTATCATCACTCCAGTGACTTCTCATAATGGTGCAGCAGTACGTATGTGATACTGCTTTCAGGTCCATGTTGCATTGTCCAGTAAGAAACAATTCTCAGGGCAAGAAAGAAAAGAGGGGAAGGAAGGCCAAGTTCAAACAAAAGGAAGAGCAGAAGGGTTGGGTTGAGCAGACACCTTGGGATTGTGGGTCGATCCCACTCAAGATAACCAGCGCTATCCCAGATGCCTAGAGATCTAGCAGTTGCTGGTAAAATCTGCTTGATAAGTACCTAGGGATTCATTGTTGACAATTTTTTTAAACCAAGGCATAGTATCTAGTAATTTAACCATTATTTTTTTGTTAGAGAATGTCCATTAGAGTCTGGATTTAACTTCTGCTAGAGTAAGGAAGCTAGAGAGCCGTGCTTTTATCTAAAAACACTTGTCCATAATTATTGGGCAATTGGACATGACCACCAGATATGGAAAAAGGTGCTTGGCTGAACAACCCATAAAAGTCAGGGAAGCTCCCTAGTATTGTATGTGCACTTGGGGATATAGTACCATCACGTTAGCACCTTATAATTGGTTTCCATAGCATTCACATTTTGAGAGAGAACAATTGGATGGTGCAGCATATTTGGGACCACATTTCAGGATGCTATTTGTTTTTAAACAGGTACCGCATCACTATTGGAAATAAAACCTGTGTTTTTGAGAAAGAAAATGATCCCTCAATCCTGCGCTCCCCTTCAGCTGGCAAGCTTATACAGTATGTGGTGGAGGATGGTGGCCATGTGTTTGCTGGACAGTGCTACGCTGAGATAGAGGTATCGTAGAACAAGCAAATAATCATTAGCTTCTTAAATACTGTATATTTTGTTTAATTTTATCCTATGTGCAGTCAATTAGGTGAAGCTAGGTGTGAATTTTGAAATCCAAGTAAGTCTAACAAGTATTAATTTCCTTGATGTGTCCTGTAAACAAAACATTTGACTGAAAGACTTGAAAATAAGCTGTGAGATGTAATATATCCCTTCATGACACCTTAGGGTAGCTATGGAAAGTTACAATCACTTAGTCAACATGTAAACACTAGCAGGTAGCTAAGGAAGTGGTTGGGGACTGTGACAACTATATGTTATACTCTCCTACAGAATCTATCTAAGCAGAGGAACCATGCTATTAATACCTTTGCAAGATGCACAGTAATTATAACTACATTACAATTATAAATAATCCTTTTTGGTGGGGAAAAGCTAACCTAAATATAAAGTTTATGTTGTAAACTGTGAACTGTTCAAATTTGAATCCTTCTTAAATCTTAAATAAATCAAGTATATTAGAAATAATGTTAAAAGATTAACCACTTGCCATCCGGAAGATTTACCACCCTTAATGACCAGGCCACTTTTTGCTATTCTGCATTGCATTATTTCAACTGGTAATTGCACGGTCATACAATGCTGTACCCAAACAAAACTTCTGTCCTTTTTTTTTTTCACACAAACGGAGCTTTCCTTTGGTGGTATTTGATAACCACTGGGTTTTTTATTTTTTGTGATATAAACTAAAAAAGATCCCAACATTTTCTACTTTCTGTTATACAAAATATCCAATAAACTCAAAGTTAGTCATAAATTTAGGCCAAAATTTATTCTGTCAAATTTCTTTGGTAAAAAAAAATCCCAATAAGTGTATAGTCTTTGGTTTATGTGAAAGTTATAGCATCTACAAACTATGGTATATTGGAATTTACACAGCTTTTACTTTCTGACTGCCTATCACATTTCTTGAGGTGCTAAAATGCCATGGCAGTACAAACACCCCCCAAATGACCCCTTTTCAGAAAGCAGACACCCTAAGCTATTTGCTGAGATGCATGTTGAGTCCATGAAACTTTTATTTTTGATCCACAATTTTTTCGAAAATGACAAAAAAAGAAAACTTTTTTTACACAAAGTTGTCACCTAAATGATATTTTGCCCACACATGCCATGGGTATATGTGGAATTGCACCCCAAAATATATTCTGCTACTTCTGAGTATGGGGATACCACATGTGAGAGACTTTTTGGCAGCCTAGTCGCATACAGGAGCCCGAAATGCAAAGACCCCTTTGAAAGCCTGAAGGTGCATAGTTCCTTCATTTCACTTCCTCACTGCCTATCACAGTTTCAGAGGCTCTGAAATTCGATTATAGCACCCCCCCCCCCCCCAAATTACCCCTTTTTGGAAAGTAGACATTCCGAGGAATTTAATAAGAGGCATGGTGAGTATTTTGCCAATCTAATTTTTTTGTCACAAGGTTTTGAAAAAGAAAAAATATATTTTCGTTTTCTTTATTCATTTTCCAAAAAGTTGTGGCGACAAACGAGATCTGCAAAATATTCACCATGCCTCATCAAATTCCTTGGGGGGCCTACTTTCCAAAAAGGAGTCATATAGGGAGGGGGGGTTGTACTATTTTGGCATTTCAGGGCCTCTGCAACTTTGATACGTAGTCAGGACGTGTAATGAGGAAATAAAATCGTGCTTATTGGATTTTGGGCTAGACTGCCAGCCTTTCACATACTTGGGAGAAGTAGCAGAATATGTTTTAGGGTGTAATTCCACATATAACCATGGCATGTGTGAGCAATATATGATTTAGGTGATAACTTTGTGTAATTTTTTTTTTTTTTTTCTGTAATTTTTCAAAAAATTTGTAAAAAATAAATTATTCTATTGACTCAACATGCCTCTCAGCAAATAGTTTGGGGTGTCTACTTTCCAAAAAGGGGTCATTTAGGTGGGTTTCATGCTATCCTGGAATTTTTTGCCCAACAATAGCACACATCACCCACTCTTCCAATCACTTGAAGTCCAGCCCTTTTCTGACACTTTGTTCACATGAAAAAAAATCTGTATTTTTTGCTAGAAATTATTTTGAAAAACCCATTATATATTTTCTTAAAGCAGAGTCTCTAGAGAATAAAATAGTGGGTGTTGCAATTTTTTACACACAGTACTTGTGCAGCGATCTTTGAAACGCAAATTTAAAAACAAATACACTTTTTTCATTTTAATGCACAAAAACACAATATATTGGCCAATTGTTTGGTACAATAAAAAAGATGGTGTTACGCCGAGTAAATAAATACCAAACATGACATGTTTTAAAACTGTGCACGCCCCGTGCAACGGCGACAAATTACATTCATTTTTAATATCCATAGGCGACGCTTTAACATCCTTTACAGGCTACCACTTTAGATTTACAGAGGAGATCTAGTGCTAGAATTACTGCCCTCAATCTGACATTTGATGCGTTACCTCACGGTGCATGGTGCCACACGGTTGCATGGTGCAACTGCTATTTACATATTGACAAGGGGCCAACTCTTGCATACACCTTTGCACATGAGCGCGGGGGGGGGGGGGGACGGGGGTGTTTTAACTTTTTTTTTTAATTATTTGTTTTGCATTTTTCTTATTTTTACACTGTCTTTTTTACTTATTTATTTTTTTGATCACTTTTTTTTGTAATCACAGGGAATGTAAATATCCCCTATCATAGCAATAGGCAGTGACAGGAAATCTTTTCTGAGAAATCTGGGGTCTATTAGACTGTACATCTCTCCTCCTGAAGTGATGAAATGCTCGGAGCATCCGGTTTCTTAGACCATAGAGATAATTGGATCCACTGGCATTCCCGGTGGTACGGGAAGGCCACAAAAAGCCGTGGAAGGCGGTGGGGGGGGGCACCCCCATCCCCGCGTCCCCTCACGCTGCTTGTAAAAGCAATCCAGTGGCAAATTAGCCACTAGGATTGCTTTTACATAAAAACTGACCTTTGGCTGAAAAAAATTATACCAGGATAATGCCTGTAGCTGCAGTAATTATCCTGGTATAACCACTCAAAGTCCAGTGACATACCAGTACATCACTGGTCCTTGTTCAGCATATATGTAATATTCATTTTTTTTTTTTCATACAACTTGTTGGCTGAACGAAAAAAGAGAACCTAACAGATTCCTCCATTTACATCAGTCAATGTGGATGAAGAAATCTCTGCCAGAAAAAGTGTGTGGTATGCCCACCATTAGAATATACCCCTGCAACCATCCACTTCTAATGTTGCGCATACATGTAATGTTCTAAGAGACTCCTCCATTCATACTGATCAATGTGGATGAAGAAATTTCTGCCAGGAAACAATAAAAAATTATATGCCAAAGCATAGGGGCGATCCACCCACTGACCACCCCAGGCCCCCATATGCTTGGGCATATATGCTCTTTTTTTTTTTAACTGTGGATGAAAAATCTCATCCAACAGCACTGCATGTACTGACTTATATTCGGAGAGCAAGACCCTGTTGCTGTCAGAATAAACAGATCGGTGCTGCAGCTGAATGGTGTTCCTGCAAAGCAAACAACAGTGATTAACAATAAAACACAGTAACAACAGAACGTTCACTCAATAAAACAATAACTGAATGATATTCTTGCAAAGCAAACAATGGTTAACAATAAGTCTAGGTTTCCACCTATGCAGGTTGCGTTTGATGCGTTTTGCATTGCGTTTCTAGGCAGAGTTTAAACGCAAAACGCATCAAAAAATGTGGCAAAAACGCAATACATGCTTTTCTGCGGCGTTCCCATTGAAGTCTATAGAACCAAAAACGCAAAGTTTTGTATTCAAAAAAGTCCCTGACCCTTATCAAAAAACTCACCGTGTAAAAACGCAAAGATGTGACCCTGTCCCTAAAAACAATTTTCATTATAAACTCCCATTGCCCCTTACCTAAAGGATCAAATATCCCTAGCGTTTATTCTGACTCTACCCCTAAAGTATATGTCCGGGCATTACTCAAATGTAACCACAAACCTCCCTGTCCCATTGTAGACCATTTCCTAGCATTTTTCTCTTCTTTTACCTTGTTCCTATAAAGAGAAACCCTTGTGCCGTCAGAAAACCCTTTCATTACTCCTTGTTGCTCCTTTCTTGGTAAAGAAAAATTCTCATTATTAGGGTATTAAGGGCAGACATAAAAATCAATATTTTTTTTTTAGCTTTGTCCACATTTTAGCACATGATTTTTTTACACAAATGGTTTTGATAGCATCAAGCTTGATCCCAATATTAGCTGTCATTTCTAAAACTAAACTTCTGCGAAAAATATAAGTATATTGAAAAGTAATATTTAGCTACTTTGATTTCAACTTTCCAAACACATCTGAAATGTACATTTCACAAAATCTTCAGCATATTGCACTTTCCATTTGTTCAACACTCAGTGGACTTTACAATGCTTTTATCAGCCTAAGTCTATTGTGAAACAGCTTAATGAAGCAAGGGAACAAAGCTGATGTAGCTTGTTCAGGTGAGAGACATAAGAAATAGATTTTCTGCTTGAAAAGTCATAATGCTTCACTCATTGCAATCACATTGTATGAAACGAGTAACCAACAGGGAAAACTGACACGGCATACTAGTGTGAGCAAGTGGTACAAATTACCCTTTTTGTACTATATCTAACCGAAGCAAAAGTATTCCCCAATATAAGGTTAACGTTCCATATTAGTAGACAAAAAAAAAACTTTAAAGCTGATCTCCAGTACAAGTAACAATGTTCCCTTGCAGTAAAGCTGCACTTGTGCTGCAATGGTTAATGCTCCTATTCATCTAGGGAATTTAAAAAAACAATTTTTTTACCCAATCTTCTGCTCCAGCAGGCTCCTTCATGCTTCTAGACTGGTCCCGGCAGTCTCTTCTCCTTTGCACTCCGGCAGCCTATGTTTCTGTGGTGTCATCATGACCAATGCAGGGCTCAAAGGCCTACATTGAACATGATGATGTTGAGGAACAGTCCACTGCAGGAGAATGCGGGATCACCGTCTGTTGGGGGAGCAGAAGATTGGGTAGAGTAGTAATAGAAGTAGTAAAGATGTCAAATTGATTTTCCTGTCCCCTAGACAAAAATGTGCCATTAACCCTTGCAGTGCAGGCACAGCCCCTCTGCAAGGGAGGACTTTTACTTTTCCTGGAGTTGGGTTTTAAGAAGGAACAAATCTCTGGGGGCTGTGCCCAAAAAAGGGGGCAAAGCAAGGCCTTGAGTTCACATTGCAGAGATATAGCTATGAGGCTGTAGGCACGGGAGTGTCTAGGCCAACCTTGTCTCAACCAGGGCTCCAGACCCGCGGCGGCTCTTTTTCACCTTGAGGCTGCGGCTCAGGTGACAGGCAATAGGGCAGCAATGCAAACTACGGCCCGGCGGACCTAATCCGGCCCGCGGAGCAAAGGCTCCCGCTAGGCTCCTCTCACAATCCGCGCTGAAGACCGGTGTAGCATGAAAATCTGCCTATGAGGATCTGTCCCCCTCGACGTATCTGCGCATGTGCCGGAAAATCGCCGATCAGCTGCTAATGCCTGAAACTGGCACATTCGCAGATACGTCGAGGGGGACAGATCCTCATAGGAGACAGATTTTCATGCTACACCGGAACGGCGCGGGAACACGGCGAGAGGAACGTGCGGAGCAAAGGTAAGTGAATTGACACAGGGGGGACTTGGGAACTTAATATGGGGGATGAATTAATATGGGGGATGAATTACTATAGGGGGGATGAATTACTATATGGGGGATGAATTACTATATGGGGGATGAATTACTATGGGGGATGAATTCTAGATTAATTACTATGGGGGATGAATTACTATGGGGGATGAATTACTATATGGGGGATGAATTACAGTGAATTACATGGGGGATGAATTACTATATGGGGGATTAATTACTATGGGGCCTGAATTACTATGGGGGAGAATTACTATATGGAATTACTATATGGGGGATTAGATGAATTACTATGGGGGATGAATTACTATGGGGGATGAAAAAATGGGGATGAATTACTATATGGGGGATGAATTACTATATGGGGGAATGAATTACTAGTTGAATTACTATATGGGGGATGTATTTTCAGTTTTAAAAATGTGGCTCTCAAAATAAATTTCAATCAGTGTGGTTTTGGCGAGATTTGGCTCAGTTGAAAAAAAAGGTTGCCCACCACTAACCTAAGGCTATGATTGTGCGTTATATACAGATTAACCCTTTGCTTACTGGGCCCTTAAACCCCCTTCATAGTTTTTGCAATATATTTTAGTTTTAAATGTTGCAATGGTTTTGCGGCCCAGTCTTTTTTTTTTCCAAAATTAAGGGCAGACCCCTGGTCTAGGCCAACCTTTCTCAACCAGGGTGCCTTGAGGTTTTTCAGGGGTGCCTTGGCAAAATGTCTAAATATTGCCCAAAACTTGTATCCATGTGGAACAAGCTTGCCTTTTAGTTACAAAAAGTCACAGGTTTTCATTGTGTACCATTATGACCTTCTAGCCGCCGACGTCCTGACAACCAGTGACATCATCAGTTGATAATGTCAGCTGCCTGCACAGCATCCTAGTTTGGCTAGCATTAGCTCAGTGATGGAGAAAAATTGAGGGAGAAGAGAAACAATGGAATACTAGTTAGTAACAGTGTGTAAAAGTGTATTTGCTTTGGAAGAATAAAACATTGGGAGTCCTACATGTGTGGATGTTGCTGCTACAAAACTATTAGAATACACATTTTAGAATGAGGTGCCCTTTTAAAATTATGGACAGCTGAGGTACCCCATTTTAGAATGGGGTGCCTCAAGACTGTCCATAATTTTAAAGGGTGCCTTGGGACTGTCCATCATTTTAAAGGGTGCCTTGACTGGAAAAAGGTTGAGAAACACTGGTCTAGGAATGCAACACAAAAGGTACTTTTTGTAGGCAGAATTTACATTTCTACATTTCCCTACAACAAAGAAAACCTGTACCTTTGAGTTAAGTTCCACTTTAATTCTAAAAAATTTGAAAGGGCGATAGCCATATTCATCAAGACAGTGTAGCCAATCAAGCTTGACTCCAGTTTGACTAAATTAATACTGTATGTTACAGCGGGGAAAGAGTCGATTTGTATTTGTTGATATGGTATTCTTTGTCCCTTTGTAATTGCACTTGCTTTTGAAGTACTATATGGTTATATAGTTTTAAGTGTGGGGAAGTACTAAAGCGTTTTCAGCAAAATGCACTGCAACATTTCATGTCCCTATTCCTGTTATTAGTGAGCTAAATCTCCACATTTTCCTGTGGACACACAAATCTTTGTTATGATAATGGGTAATAAAATGCCTTATCAATAATTTGCCAGGCTTTACAATAAGAGTTTTTTTCCTAGAAAAATTAAACTGCATATTTTTGCATGCTTTGAGATGTCTGTATGGACACATGTACATGAGTATGTATTTGTGGGATGGATCAGTGCAGTGCAATATATATTTACAAATGTTCTTCTTTAGGTTATGAAGATGGTGATGACCCTGACAGCCATGGAGTCAGGATGTATACACTACGTGAAGCGCCCAGGTGCTGTCTTGGAACCTGGATGTGTAATTGCTAAACTTCAGCTAGATGACCCCAGCAGAGTGCAGCAGGTAGATCAATGAAATATGAGTAAAACTTTGATGGTCTTCTGTTTTTATCAATACAGGCGTACTTCAGTTTACGAATGCCTAAGTTAACGTAATTTATGAATGAAAACCCATTGAAAATAATGCCTTGGTTTATGAGTTTTTTTCGCAATACAAAGCAAGTTTCCCAAGGATGCATTGCACCTGGGAGGTTTATAGCGTCGGCCCCGTGCCTTTAAAGTGCACTTTATAAAGAGTTTTGAACAGATAAGACTTTTTTTTTACTTTTTCCTGACCTCCGGAACAGATTAATTGGTTTTCAATGCATTTCTGAAGTTTCCCCAGGATGAATTGCGCCTGGGAGGTTTATAGCGCCAGCCCCATGCATGCTGGTGTCTGTGGGTAGCACATGGCATTGAGTGTGGAGGTGTTGGAGTGGTTTTGGAGCCATTCTGGAAATTTTTAATCATGCCCTGTACAGTAAGTTAAGCCTTTAAAGTGCAGTTTATGAAGAGTTTTGAACAGATAAAACACTTTTTTTTTTACTTTTTTCTGACCTCCGGAACGGATTAATTGGTTTTCACTGCATTCCTATGGGAAACCGCAATTCGGTTTACATATTTTTCACAATACAAAACATCCTGGAGAACGCATTAAATTCGTAAACCAAGGTACGCCTGTACCTTTATTTATATGCCATGGTATTTGCTAGTAATAATACTCAACTAGTGGTTAAAAACCACATATGGTTTTTCCTTCTCCTTTGATTGCATGAGCTAACGTGTACATAGGATCTATATGGAGCTTTGTAAAAATCATGCAACAAAATCTTACCAAAACCAATCAAATAGTATTTCAGTTTAAAAAGATCTAAAACCCAAACTTTTAAATATAGCTTTGGGTAGAGTAAGGAAGTGTTAAAACCCCTGTCAGATTTTCTGCTGTCTTTATCTTCGCTGGGAGATTCACCTATTATATTTTTCCTGATGACCCTTGTCTCTGATATGGAAAGTGATGGGAAAGCCAACATTTTGCAGTAGTCACAGAAACAGGAGTTGAGGGGAAATTTCCCAATGGAGACAGCTGTCTAAGGAAGGGTTATCACTTTTCTTACTTACTCATTATGTATCTGGTACAAGAAATAAGAAAAATCTCCTTGATGGGATACAGACAAGAAAAAGACCCCAGGTCTTAACCATTCCCTACTTTACCCAAAATTTATATTTTTAAAAATAATTTGGGCTTTACATACATTTTAACTATTTATAATTATTACCCGCTTGTAAATGTGTTTCGGTAAATTGTATATGAAGCCAAAACCTTTTTTTTTTCTCATCTCTTGAGGGACAAAGGAAGTCCTTCACCTTTAGAATGTACTGCTGCCCACAGGTCGATTGGACACTGGCAACCAAAAAGCTGTAGATAGAACAACAGCATAGAAAAACCCCTGCTACTACTCACTGCATACCACATTTTTTTGCTAGTGTTCTAGAAGGATGAACCATTTTTCTTTAGCTTCTTCTGCATAAAGGATTAACCTATTTTTTTCTAGCACCACTTTTTTTCTTCAACATTTTTGTCAGACAGTGGGCTACCCCTGATTTGGATCTGTTGGTGACCCAGTTTAACAGGGAGACCACTAGGGTAGTGGATGACATTTCTGTATTCAAGGACCCTATCAATGAGCGGTTGGAAACCCTCTATAGAACTCAGTTCATACTAGTAGACTGCCCTTTGCCTTATTCTGGCTGTGACTTTTTGTGAATACTGTCAAACCATTGTAGAATAGTCAAAGTCTCTTAACTTCTGAAGCAGTAGAACTTTCATTGTTAAACTGTGTGGAGCAAATGGCTGGAGCTTTACATTTCAGTTGTGATGGTCTTCCAGAAGCATCTCAACTCGTTTCCCAAATTGGTATTTTATCAATAAACGTGGTGAATGTGCTGGTCTGCTTGTCCTGCTTTCAAGGTACACCTGCTCTGTATGGTCTTAAAGGGACAACGTATCTTTGGACTGGTTCTTGATGCTATTTTCAAGGATGTCACTGAAAGCAAGAACACCAACCTGCCTCAACATAGGAAAGCCTGGAGAAAGTCTGCAAAAAGTCTCCTTCCTTTTGTTTCTTTACTCCTAGAGTATACATGTTTAGGCCTCCCATACTTGCCTTTCTTAACGTTTGGGATAAAAAGCCTGCAAAAACCTCAGTAAATCCTTCATCTATATGAAGTTCAGGATACATTTGCTATTTGTTGCAGACTCCTGGATCGTGGGATACATTGCAGGCACCCTGTTCGTGGGATACTTAGACGACCTCTTGTAGAAAAAGCAATCAGTTTTGGCTTTGTTGGCAGCACCCCTCTGATTGCCCAAATAATTCAGAGTTATGTGGATCCTGAATTTCATCCATTGACACAGGAAGAAATTGGCATAGAATTCCTCTCATCGCCTGCAGGCAACTCGACCTCAAGGTTTTTTCTAGTGATGCACTCGGCTGTCAAAAAGTTTTGGCCAAAAATAGGGTTATCAGCGTTTTGCCGGTTAAAAAAAAAAAAAAAGTGTCCATAATAATTATTGACTTCTGTGCAAAATCGAACCCCCATTGAATTCAATGCAAAATCGCACCCCACTGACTTCAATGCTGTCCCATTGACTTCAATGCAAAATCGCATCCCATTGACTTCAATGCAAAAACGGCTCTATTTAAGTTTTTTATTTTTATATTGATTTCATTTTGTTTTATGTCTGGTTTTTGTTACTTTAAAAAAAAGTTATTTTACCTTACTGGATTGTATTTTTTAAATTCATATTAATTTAAATTCATAGTATTCGTCAAAAAGTCGAATGTAATTTAATTTTATATATTAAAAAAAAAAATTAAAAACTGTCCATTTTGGTTTCAGTTTTCAGCCAAGTGCATTCTGAATTTTCATTTTCGCTCCATAATTTTCATTTTGGTGCACCACTAGTTTATCCCTCAGACAATTCTTCAAATACTTTCCGAGCTCATATCCTTGTTTTCCAGTCTGGAAGTTGCCCACCTCTCTACTCTTGCATGAGAGTTGTGGATCTGTGAGTAACCCTCTTTGAGGCTGCCCATTTTCTTCAATCTGTTCAGTACTATACTTTGTTGTCGTAGAACAAGTTAACCTAGTTTCTGAGGAAACCGATTTATCTCCCCCTGAGAATGGGGTAGTTTCTGTATCTGGATCATTCTTTTAGCTCTGGAGTCAGAAGTTGTAACTTCCCACCTGCTGTAAACTCCTATGTGGAGAAGCGGAGGCCCTGATCATTGGAGAATTCATGTCTCCCCGTCTTCATCCTGTTTTGCTTGCTCTGGATTATTCTCTTGGTAGATCATCGAACCAGGGTCCATCTGGACAACACCACAGAATGGGAGTGCCCAACCATCATGGTGAAACAGGAGATTTTGCTGCATAAAGCGGTAGTTTGGAATTTTACATTCTAGCCCTGTTCGCTATGTTCATCGCTTGTATGAACAGCTGGACAGATTTCCCCAACTGTTTACTTGTACATGGGTCAGTGGTTATATATCTAAGTGTGTTCCAAGACCTGCAGATGTGTGCCCCTTGATATCCTGGTTCAACTGCATGATTTACAGTTTTGTCTCCAGGTGCAGAAATCTTCTAACACTAGCAATGGATGCTCTGGTGACTCCATAGGATCTAGACTTTTCCTCCTCTTATGTTTCTTTCTCATCTGCATGTGTTTCTTGCCCTCCTGGCATTAAACACCGGTTTCCCGAATTGCAAGGCTACCACCTGGTCTCTTTTGTTTCTGGTGTCTTATGGAGATTGTGGCATCATCTGATTCTACCTTTGATCATATGGTCCTTCAGGCGACTCTTGAGTTCCAGGCAATCCTCAGTTTGTATATTTAAATTGGCTGTTAGCAAGTGTTTGCTGTGTTGCCCTTTATGTTCTCAGTACTGCTTTGTTACATAATTGAAGCATGCTGGTAGTGGGAGTTGTTATCCTGGGCTGTCCTACATTTTGTTTTTTGTCCAAACCTCCTGTATGCTGCAGTATAACCCAAAGGTGAAAAACTTCCTGTTTCCCCCAATGGACTCCAAGTAAAGTGTTTTATTGTAGGTATAAAAATTGTATATAGCCACATATGGTAGATGGGTTTGACTCTGGAATGTCAAGTTTTTTTTTTTTAGTTAGTTCAAGTATTCGTGCATAGGCCCCCAGTGCACATGCACATTGCCATAATCATTATGAATATTGCACTATAGGATCTCATGTAGACATAAGATTGGTTTTCTGATTAAATTACTGCTATTATTCTCTAGAAAGTAGGACTTAGAGTGAGCAGCCGAACCTCTATATATTAATTTTACTAATTATCACAAGAGCAGTGGTTCCTGGCTTTATGAAACCTCTGTTTTCTGCAAGGTAACTTGGTTGTTATATTTCATATAGTATCTTTAATTTATAGGCTGAACTTCACACAGGACCATTGCCACAGATACACAGCACTGTGCTACAGGGAGAAAAGCTCCATCGTATATTTCATTATGTTTTAGATAACCTGGTGAATGTTATGAATGGATACTGTCTTCCAGAGCCTTACTTCAGCACCAAGGTAACCCATATTTTACACTTCCAGAATACAAAATGTTCTTTTTTGTAGAGAAAAAATATTTTGGATGTTTGTTCTAATATTTAGCAAAAAAAAATCTTTAATATGACTACATGAGGTAAGTAGGAGAACTGGGAGGTTTATTAGATGAAGCACAATGCAGCGATCAATTGACGTGTTTCGTGCTACAGCTTTTAATCTTGTCGATTTTGTAATACACTCAGATATATTTTGTAGCCTTGAAGTGAAAATCTTTGTAGATGACTTTGTCACTGACGGGTAGGTTAAAGAAACCCACACTAAATAACGCATACTGTACATCTCCAGTCATGAGCTCTCCTTGTGAAAATGTTTGATGCCTGGCAATAGTTTTGATAGCATGTCTTCAGTTCTCTTGTCACTTGAACAGAAAAAGTATGCAGAGCAGGACTTTATCCTTACTCTGCCATCGCTAGCTACATGCATGCACCGACCACCATTTTTCAGAAGGAAGTCCGCAATGACAACCCATGCATTTTTTTTTCTTGGCAATTCATGTGTAACCACTTCAAGTCCGGACACTTTCACTCCCTTCCTGTCCAGGCCAATTTTCAGCTTTCAGCATTCTCACACTTTGAATGACATTTGCGCGGTCATGCAACACTGTACCCGTATGAAATTTTTAGCATTTTTTGAGACAGATAAAACTTTATTTTGGTGATATTTATGCACCACTGGGATTTTTATTTTTTTTGCTATATAAATGAAAAAGCCCAAACATTTTGAAAAAAAGTGTTTTTTGCATAAATTTTGGCCAAAATGTATTCAGCTATATTTTTTGTAAAAAAATATCCCAAATTAGTTTATAACCAAAAATTATATTTAAAATTTTTTTTTTTTTACATTTTTTTTTTTTTATATATTATTATTTATGATTTTTTTTTTAACATACTGTCACCCTAGCAGTACAGTGTCTCATTACTAGTTGTGGGGGGTGATTTTTTTTTTTTATACACTGATTGGTTTTACACCCATAAAGGCTGTAAAAGCAATCATTTCTCCTTCTCTCTGGCTGCATTCTTGCAGCCATTGAGAAATACTGGGAGAGCTGTGATTGGTCACTGCTTGTCACATGGTACAAGGCTGTTGTAAATAGCCTTGTACCATGTGACCTCTGTGATCATTCACAGATTTTACAGGTAGTAAGCAATGATGTCAGAAGTGACATCTTGCTTACTACTATTCATGTGATCACTGATTGGCTAGTCAGTGATCACATGATAGGGACCTTACACGGAGGTCCCGTACAGCGATCTGTGTTCCGCTGTGTCATACGGACACAGTGGGCACCGGATCGTGGTGCCGTACGCTCCCAGGGGGCGCGCACAGGCAGGGAAGCAGGAGGACGTTTATAAACGGCCACCTGCTCTTGCACTGCTCCCGTCCGGCCATTTATATACATGGGCCGGACTGAAAGTGGTTACATGTGATTTTTACCTTAAAGTCTCTAGCACTGATATTTGAAAATAATTCATAATTTCAGTGCAGGGGAAGAATCAACCATGGGGTGGCAGCCTCCTAGTGTGTATGTATGTATGTACGTATATATGTATGTCACTTGGCCTGCAAGTGACAGGCTTGCATACATAGATTTCTCTTTGCCAGCTACAGGTTCAAAATCCACCTAGAGCACTACTTGGTATTCCTTGTCCATGTGAAAAGATTTCAGGCCCTCAAAGTGTTCAAGGTGTGCCCAGTGCAAGTTTAGGTATCTGACACCGTAGTCTATAAATGTTTGCTCTAATCCCCTGCATAGCAGGATTTAGAGAGGGTTTACCAGCAGCATGTGCTAATCAGGTTATAATGCATTACACTTTTACATTTAAAATTGGGAGTTTGCTGACAGGAGGAATGCTCAGTTATGACTTTGTTTGTGTGGTGCTGCTCTTTCTTTGCCCAGCAGTGGTGAACAGTGTGGTCACCTAACTGGCTAGACTGCTTTGCAGCAGTGCCGGGGCATAAGTCAAAAAGCTGTGTGCTTGCTTCCTGCAGTTTTGCTTTAAGCCTTACATGTATTTAATTGCTGTAATTTTTTATTTTGTCAGTTAAAAGACTGGGTGGAGCGATTAATGAAGACCCTCAGGGATCCATCTCTTCCTTTATTGGAACTCCAGGACATTATGACCAGTGTATCTGGACGTATTCCACCAAATGTGGAGAAATCAATCAAGAAAGAAATGGCACAGTATGCCAGCAATATTACTTCTGTGTTGTGCCAGTTTCCAAGCCAACAGGTAAAGCTTTATGTAGAAATATACAGTATGTTGAACATTGATAGAAAGATTGTTTGTTTTTGCCCAGTACCATCTAAACAAGGCATTTATAGCCTGGTTCTATACTAACTGCTTCAGTGGCAAAGAAGTAAATAGAATTTTGTGAGGATGAAAAATTAATTTTTGGACATTATTTATAACCCTTAATTGTCTTAGTTGTAAAATTGTGGATGACCCTAACAAATTATTGTGGAGAATGCAGCAACATATTAGAACCATTTAGCGTTAAAGCTGAAGTTGAGGCCCAGGCTCCTCATTTTTCCCCTGGTCTACATGCTGATTACATTTTTTTAATAAAATCTTTCTGTACCCAGTACAAAGCTATTTTTTAGTCTCTGTGATGTCATCACTAGGTCTCTACACTTTTCATTTTCAGTACATTTTAATGAAACTTTACAGAATACAGATCATAGCATGAATGAACACTTTGATTTGAACAAAGTGTTATTAATCAATGGGAAAATAGCTAAGAATGATACCAAGGCCCTCCAGAAGCATGACTAAAGGTTTGCAAATGATCTAAACAAATGACTTATAATGTAAAGTAGACAATGACTAGCTGGGCAAGGTTGTAGTAACCAATAAAACCATAAAACATTGCTCAGACCATAGCATCATATCTAGGCAAAAACATGACTCTTATCTATGGAAAAAGGAAAAGGAGGACATGCAGTGGACAGGCAAAAAGAATTGTTAGAGGAAAACAGAAGAGAAAGAAGATAGGAGGGGGAAAGAGGAGGAAGGGAGGACGTTGAGGACATGGCCAGGGCCTCAAAGCTGGACTCCTACAAAGAGGCATAACTCTCAGTAGGTAATGAAGAATGAGCATATTTTATCCATTGGACCCATACCTTAAGCAACCTCTTTTGTGTCAAATGGTATACTGATGAGCTTTTCATTCATGTAGAAAGCGTCAACATGTTGGCAAACCTCTGCAAAGTAGACAAACTGTCCTTCCAGGCTTTTTTTAGTAGTCTGCTTTGCTGCTAACAGAATGCAAAATTAAGTTTGAATTGAGATTTAGTGAGATCATGGGGTTTGAAGTGCTGTAGGACATGCCAGGGATCTCTAGGAAAGGAGTGATTAACCAAGGATTGCAGGAGCTTTAGAACTTTGGTTCATAACTGTGCAAGCATGGGGCATATCTGCCAGGTATGAAGAACATCTCCTGGGCTTGAACAACCCTACACGTACATGCCAGCAAGAGACAGATTAGGATGTGAACAAGAAGCTATTGTGGTCCAAATTTGCAGCCAGTCTTCTCCATCTTTAGTACATCAAAGATCTTTTTCCCACTTGGAGACATTAGCATGATTTTTGTGTTGTTTAGAGTTTTGTAATTTAGCGTAGACAACGGATATCACTTTTGGGGAGAGATGCGTATGGTAGCAATAACTGTATGTTAAAAAATGATGACTGGTACATGACATTTTTTCTTAGCAAATTTGATGGCAAGTCAGTGTTTTATTTACAGGAAATGAAAGAGTTCAGAGGATGGAGTGGGATATTGTTTTCTAGTTTCTGCCAAGTATAAGCAGTAGGACCATTGATAAAAGAGTGGGCATAATGAAATTTACAATGGAAAGCACCAGGGGAATCTAGTCCTGTGGGGAACGGTGAGTTACCTGGGATGGGTAAGAGCAGCAAGTATGGCAAAATAAATTTACTGTAAAAAAAAAAAAAAAAGGTGGGGTCCCATATTGTAGGGGTATGTCACATTAAAGGCCTCATGGAGGTTGGTCTGGATCTGGGTGGGAGCCAGGAAAGTGTGCAAACAGCAACAGGTGAACAGCAGAATGTCTCCAGGTCAACCCACAAGGGATCTTATTGTGAGGCTTATAAGGAGGTTAATGGAGAGATTTGCGTGGTTGTGAAGGATTTAATGAATTTGTGTGAACATTGTAAAGTGCGAGGCTTGCTTTTTTTTTGTTGGGCCAAATAAATAATGGAACATGATTCTGAAAAGTTTTCAAGGCATAAGATGGAGCAGGGATTAGAAACGAGCACAGAATTAAACATGAGCCATTTCCAAGGCAAAATAACAAAATAAACAAAACAGAGATTTTCCTGTCCATAGAGTGTAAAAGCTATCTTCTAGAGAGGTCAGAGTGGTGCAGTAAGTACCTGGGTGGGTCTTTTCACAAGTCGAAATCTGTCAGATGTTTGGTAGTCTCTCTAACTTGATACCAAAAGTTGGTTAGCTTTCTACAAGCCCAGAAAACATGGAGAAGAGTGCCCTCCTTCTTTTTGCAGTGCCAGCAAACATTTGTCGCTTCTTGGCTGAGCTTCCAGGATTGTCATTTTGATGGTGTTAATTTTCTCTATACATGATAGGTGATTGTGGGACCAGATGAAGAGATCTTTTGGAACTTTACCCATAACAACTTGATAAAAAATAATGGAAGATATTTACGAAAACTGAAAAGTGCAAAATCTGGTGCACCTCTGTATAGCAACTTATCAGCTTCCAGGTTTTATCGTCAAAGCTTAATTGAACAAGCTGAAGTTAGAAGCTTATTGGCTACCATGCACTGCTGCACCACATTCTGAGCGCACCAGTTTTAGTAAATCTCCCCCAGTGTTCTTTAGCAAGGAATATATATTCCACATTAATAATTATGCTACCAAAATCAGTGTGTGCTGTAAATTGCCTCCAGCATTGCTCCTGTTTCTTCTTGCTGGATGTTGCCATTTTACTAAAGCCCAGAGCCCCTGAACAGCAGTAAATCTTTAGGCTATCAGCAGATCGGCCTCTACATTTTTGGCATAGCTCTGAAAAATGGAGAGCAGCTGAACATGGGCAAAGCAGCGTGTATTACTGGATTTTAAGCCGTATAGACACTTATTTTTAATGTATTTTTACATAACTATATTTGCAAAAGGAGCCAGCCTGAAGTTATCTAGCAGGACTTCATTTTCTGTCTAAAGTTTCACTTTATTAGTGTAGCTAATAAGACCGGTAAAGTAGTGAGTTAAAATTATTATGAATTAAATTTTGTAAGATAATTGTGAATGTTGAGTCCAGTATTGTGAAAGTCAATCCAGTGGTTGAAGTGGAAAGTGTTGTGTCAAAAAATCTGTATCTCATTTTGCACAGGGATCCAAGAGCTTGGGTATCCCGTCGTCTGCTGGAAAGGGAAGAGAGAGGAAAGGAATAGCAGAGGAAGAAAGAAAAAATACAACATAAGTTATAAATGCATAAAAAAAGTAGCAAAAAGGCTGCTTAAGAAGGTTATGGTGAATGGTGACATACTGACATACACAAGCACTACCATAGTGTGTGTGTCACCAAAACTGTCCAGGTGTGCTAGGGTCTGTGCACTTTTCTATGCAATGCAGGCAGATCATGGCCCATCACAGGAGACAGCAGGGTTGCACAAATCCTCCTGAAGACATCACAGCACCTTGCCTTAGTATTCCTCATCCAGAGCCCTCAGCCCTGATGCAAGCAGTTGGCTGCTGAGTTATATACATATCAAAATGCTCTGTTGGGTGGATCTCAGTGTTTAGGGGTGGGCGTTTTTAGACAGGCTGTATATGCATGCACACTGCCCTAGGTAAAGCCCACATGTGATGCTCAGCCTCCATGATTGAAATAATTAAAATCCAATTAATGAAAGGGGTAAGACAGGGACATTAAAGCTGGGGAGGAAAGAGCTAGATGATGCTGCATGTCTTCCAGCCTGAAAATAAGGATGGCTCTTTCTAACAGCTTCCAATGCAACCTGGGTTAAGTGTAGTGTTCAGTGAAATCAGAGTTAGCCATTACAATAGTGTAATCTACAGTGCCAAAAAAATCTGCACTAGTTCAAAAGTTCCAAAATTGCATAACGGCTAGCACAAAATCTTGATCAATAATCAAAAATATAAATGTGTTTTAAACAAAGAACATTCCTAACCCACATGTATAAAAAAAAAATCACCTCCACCTCAATTCAGATATTGCCTTTTAAAAGTTAATACTTAATATATATCTAGCAATGTGTATTGGTAAAAAAGGTTTAAAGCATAAAATATTCCAGACCATAATGCTAGATATTACTTTTTCAAACCATATTGTATACAAAAACAATATATGATGAGCCAACAGACTATTATAGTCCAGATAGAAGAAAGGCCCACGTTCAGGTGAGTAGTATCAACTCTATCATCTTAATTTTACATTAACTGTGGTGATACAGGGTTTCATGGAGATGTGTCAGCTCACACAGTGCTCAGAAAGAAGGCTCAATAGATCAATTTGACCCTATGATTAGAAGAGTGGTCAATAACAGCTCAAAAAACGAGGGATTCCTTCAGCTTGTACTTCCTCCCCACATTCAGGTGCACCGCGGATAGTCTTATCCCAATCCTCAATATCTGCAACTGGCTGTCAATAATTCAAGCATCCAGGCATGACATATAAAGAATAAACAAGCTCCCCATGGTATAAAACCAACGGATAAAAGCTTTATTTTTCAAAATTGCACTTACTTGGTATCCACACATAAAACAGTCTGTATGTAAAAACTCCTAGTATTGCCCACATCAGAGATGGCTGCAACCCGGCACATGTGCATGGTGACATACGCTCTTGCTCCTTCCAACGTGTTTCGTCAAATGTGGCGTCATCTTTTTTATGTGCTGCATCGTTTGTAAATAGTTTAGAAGATCCTGTACAACTTTGTAGAATGAAGGTAGATCTGGTCATACATGGGGCTAAACAAGAGAAATCACTTGCCTCCATTCATGGTAAAATGTGTGGATACATGAATCTGCGGCATTAATTACTGTATTCTGACAGCCAACATCTGCTGCTTTCCAAATACCCAAAAAAGTCTTGCACCTGATTGGATGTGAACTCTGTTCAGCTGAGAATTTTCCAACGAACTCCTTCGAGAAAACTAAAGCCTTTGAAAAAATCAAGGCAGGTGGTGTTAACATGGCCACAGGGGCAGACTGACCATTTGGAAACTCGGGCACTGCCCAAGGGCCCGGGGTCAGTAGGGGGCCCCATGAGATGCCTCTGGTACCTTTTTCATAGGCTTTTTTTCAGTTTGGGCAAGGACACAGGGGCCCCATGATCCCCTATTGCCCGGGGGCCCTATGAGTTGTCAGTCCGCCCCTGCATGGCCACCCATGAAACGCGTTTTGGCCTTTTCAACAGGAGTCAGACAAAATTGGATCTGTGTATTGCCAGCTGCAGCCTGGAGTTCAGCTTTAAATTATGGAAGAAGACCATTGAAAGTTTTGCTTACTTAGTAATAATTTTATATTTGTTGACTAGAAGTGTCTTTATGCAAAAGTTGCATTTGTTAATCCTTCCATTGAAAAATGATTTTGATAACTTATAACTGGATAACAACCTTTACTAAATGTGACAGAAATGAAGCACAAGCTTTTAGTAAGTGGAAGTAAAAATGCATGCTGGTTAAAATGCTTTTTATTGTTTTTGTTTCTTGTTTAGATAGCAAATATACTGGACAGTCATGCAGCTACATTGAACCGTAAATCTGAACGTGAGGTTTTTCTTCATGAACACACAGAGCATTGTGCAACTAGTGCAAAGGTGAGATGTTAACTGAGCAACCCAGGGGTACAAGCATTCTTGCATGACCAGAGTTTTGGTTCAAGGAGTTTGGATGGCTGGATGTTTTTCTACCAGCACATCTTTTTTTCCGATTTCAACATCATTTGTTGGTATGATTGCTGGAAACATGAAAAGGAATTTATTTTTATCTCAACTGTTCCAGACAGCTTTCATTTCCCAGAATCACTGAGGTCTCATTGTTGATTGGATGGGAGAGGGCACATCCCCTGAATAACAATGTGTTATAGCTTGTCCTATGAGGTTATCTATTGAGAGACTAGCGTTTTTTTTGACACCTTTACTTTGTTAATGTAAATTTTTCTGAAATCTCTGTTTGTAATTTACACACACACACTAATATATTATATATAATATATAATATATTTCTTTAACCACTTGCCATCCTGAGGATTTACCCCCCTTCCTGACCAGGCCATTTTTTGCGTTACAGCGCTGCGTTATTTTAACTGACAATTGGGTGGTCATGCAATGCTGCACCCAACTTAAATTTATGGCCTTTTGTTCCCCATGAGTTGAGCATTCTTTTGGTGGTGTTTGATCACCTGTGCGGTTTTTATTTTTTGCGCTATAAGCAAAAAAGGTCCGCCAATTTTGAGAAATAAACAGTATTTTGGACTTTTTTCCTAAATCTTTCCAGTAAAAAAATTTTAAAAAATCAAATTTCGTCATAAATTTAGGCCAAATGTATTCTGTGACATGTCTTTGCTAAAAAAAAAAAATCCCAATACGTGTAAATTAATTGGTTTACATGAAATTTATAGCATGCACAAATGGCGGTATAGATAATGGGATTTTTTTTTCTACTAGTAATGGCAGCGATCAGCGACTTTTAGCAGGATTGCGGCGGACATTTTGACACTGTGGGGGAACTAACTTGGTGTCACTGACACCCCAGTGACACCATTACAGTGATCAGTGCTAAACAAAAAAAAGCACAGACGCTGTACTAATGGCACTGGCAGGAAGGGGGGCAATCAAAGGGTTAACTGTGTGATGGGAGTGTTTTACTAGGGGGCGGGGGTGTGTTCTTCACTGTAAGCACACTGATTGGGATGGCTGTACTGTGCACAGCCATCCCGAGCAGTGTGCTCGAGCTGATAGGGAAGAAGATTGTAAACAAAACAATCTTCCTCCCCGTCAGGGTTGCTTGGTAATCACCGGACGCCAGCGGGTAATCACCGTTCGGGACCCGGTGATTGACATCCGCAGCCACGAATTGCGGCGCGGGTAGGGTGCGTGTGCAGCAAGCCCCCTACCCGGAAATGGAGAATGATGTGTATATATACGTGATCCTGCACACAGGTGCTGCCCTGTAGCAGTATATCTGCTATAGGGCGGTCCTTAAGCGGTTAATCTAGATCCTGCACTAGGTGCTGCCCTGTAGCAGTATATCTGCTATAGGGCGGTCCTTAAGCGGTTAATCTAGATCCTATAACTCAGTATTACAGCCAACATTGCCTTAAAACCTCATTTTAACTACACTCACACGTTGGCCCAGGATGCTCCAGCTCCTTTTTAAATCAAAGTAATGCTCCTTATTTTTCATATAAATACATGAAAATACTATATACTGTGTGTGTGTAATATATATATATATATACAGTATATATATATATTCACACAGACACACTCAGCAGCCACTTTATTAGGTACACCTAACAATTGCTAATCAGCCAATCACATGGCAGCAACTCAATGCATTTAGGCATCTAGACGTGGTGAAGACAACTTGCTGAAGTTCAAACCGAGCATCAGAATGAGGAATAAAGGGGATTTAAGTGACTTTGACCATGGCATGGTTGTTGGTGCCAGACGGGCTGAGTATTTAAAAAACTGCTGATCTACTGGGATTTTCACGGTCACATCACAAAAAGCACTCCGGATGTGATTTTGCTTACAGTTTACACCACACCCCCCTACTGCAGTATGTTCTACTTTTTTTCTGCACTGGAAAGCACTGGAACTGACTGCACTGGTATGAACTAGGACCATTGGAATACATGAGAACAACTGAGCATGCATTTTTGATGCAGAAAAAAAAGCGCCTGGACTGCATCTGGTGTGAACCAGCCCTAAAGTATGTGTAAACCCTCATCTTGTAAAAGAAGGCATTCAGTTTAAAATATAAATGGAAGGTAAAACATTTGTTGTTTGCTATACAGACCATTAATATATTTTTGTCTAGCATTGACAACTATGTGAAATAGGTGACTTTTAAATATTGATATAAAATCTATGTTTTGCTATTGCCTGAATTTTATACGCATTTCAGAAACCTTTCTACCCTTTGCATTTTTTGCTATAAAAGAATCATTTTCTCCTTCCTGTCAGATACCGCAGCGGCATTCGAGGCCACATGAAAGCTGTAGTTATGGATTTGCTTCGTCAGTATTTAAAGGTGGAAACACAGTTTCAGCACGGTATGGTTTGCATATGAAATATACTTTTTATGCCAAATAACAAAGGATAGTTGCGAGCGCACTTAAAAGCCGCTAAGCACTAAAGGTAACCAATAAACCTCAAACAGACAAAATAAAATAAAGTGCAGCTCTAAAAATAGGTACATAAAAGTATCGAAATCACTAAAATGAAATAAATATTCGTAAGAATAGTTCATAGAGTGACTGTTAATGTGAACAGGAATCCTGTGTTCATCTAGAACTCAAGATTTCAGATGAACACAGGATTCCTGTTCACATTAACAGTCACTCTATGAACTATTCTTACTCATATTTATTTAATTTTGGTGATTTCGATACTTTTTATGTACCTATTTTTAGCACTATACTTTTTATGCCAGTTATATTTCGAGCATAGGTAATTAAATTAATCATGGTCAGTACTGTGCAGTGACAGGTCACAAAGTCTAGTCAGGATGTGTTATCAGTTTGTTTTTCTATGCTGCGTCTCCAAATCACAATTGTTAAAAAGATGGCTAGAGGCTTGACACATTCACACTAATCTTTACCGTTTGATTGTAATATAAAGGATGTCTGGACAAAAAAAAAGGAACTAACAAACTTCTTGTAGTGAGCTGACAACACTGCCTTTGCTGCCCTGAATTCCCAAGCAATGTTGTAAGTCCTGCTCTCCTGCTGGACTACAGAACACCCTCCCCCTCCAAATCTCCTTAACATAAGGGGTGTGTATTGTAGTCCAGCAAGGGAAAACTGGTCAGGACTGAAAATGTTGCTTGCAATTACAGAACAGATGTCAGTTCACTACAGGTGAGGAACTTACTGGATTTTTGGAAGGATTTCTCCATCACCCAGTGGCTTTTTTTTTGGCCATACTTCTCCCGTGGGTCAAAGGAGTGCACTTACTTTATCTCTCCTGTGACCCAGTGGCTATTGCCTTTTATCAGCTGATGTGGCAGAGCTGCTCCAGGGTCTCAAAGGATCCTCGCTATATTGTTTGGATCCACATAGATGCCTGGTCAACAGCTGGATCTGCCTCTCCGCATACTGCTAAGAGCTGGAGCCAGCTGCTTCCGCCTCCTCCCCAGCCCAGCATTCTAGTGATTGCTGGAGGAGAAGAGCAGAGAGCGGTGACTGACAGTCTCCGCTCTGCTCCGAGCAGACCGTGAATTAAGCAATCAGCCCAGTGATCACTCAGTTCTTGGTGTTAGGACAGCTGCAGCATGGAGATGTGTGTATTTGGGTTTTTTTTCCCCCACACTTCTCCTTTAATCGCTTCCCGACCGCCCTTTAGCAGAAATACAGTTTCAAGGCGGTACAGGTGCGTGAAATTGCATACATCACGAACAAAATCCCAGTATCTATACCGCCATTTGTAAACGCTAACTTTCACATAAACTAATTAATATACACGTATTGGGATTTTTTTTTTAGCAAAGTCGTGTAGCAGAAATACATTTTGGCGTAAATTTAGGACGAAATTTGATTTTTTAAATTTTTTTTTTACTGGACATGTTTAATAGAAAAAAGTCAAAAATATTGTTTTTTTTCTCAAAATTGTTTGGCCTTTTTTTTTTTTTATAGCACAAAAAATAAAGCACTCACAGGTGATCAAATATCACTGAAAGAAGCTCAATTTGTGAGAAAAAAAGGCCGTTAATGTAATTTGGGTGCAGCGTTGCATGACTGCATAATTTTCGGTTAAAGTAACGCAGCGCCGTAACATAAACAATAGCCTGGTCAGGAAGGTGGGTAAATCCTCAGGAGGGCAAGTGGTTAACGGAAACGGGAATTTCGAAAACAGTCTGGTCTTGTCACCTTCAGGATTATTGAGCATAGGCAAACTGAAAAGTTGCAAGCCATCCCCCATATAAACCCTACTCTACTCATTCTTGTTTTCTAGTGTCCAGGACGATGGACTTCTTTTCTCTGTTCTGCTGAGAAAAGTCTAGCCTTTTCTATTAGCAATTTTTTTCTTTAGTCAAGATTACCTCTTTTTCTTCAGTAAATATTTTTCTGTAAGCTGCTTAAGCTGGTCTCTGTATGCCAGGGCCGGACTGACAACTCATGGGGCCCCCGAGCAATAGGGGATCATGGGGCCCCTGTATCCTCACCCACACACAAACCACACCCAACAAAGCCTATGAAAGGTACCAGGGGCATCTCATGGGGCCCCCTACTGACCCCGGGCCCTCGGAGAGTGCCCGAGCGCCCGAATGGTCAGTCCGCCCCTGCTGTATGCACCTATCCAGATCAGCAGTCGGCAACTTTTCCAGAAGTTGCTTTGAAGGCTATATCCAGACTCCACTGGACTGGACAATTGTGGGGATAGCCTTCAATGTGAACTTCAGACACTAGGATCTACATTTCCAGGCCTTGGGGCAAAGGTTAAGTTGGCTGTGGAGCACTTTCCAAATCCAGAGCAATTGCACAGCCTCAGATGTGACCCTGTCTCTGAAGACTTACTCCGTGTGTAGACCTCCTGCTGTTACCCTCTCT